AGACTATTTTGAACTACTGGAAGCATCAATTACTTCAAAGAGGATGATGGACATCGAAAAAAACCCATTAATGGAGTTTGCTTTGTTTGTGGCAAAAGTTGACCACTGGGCAAAAATGTGCCCTTGCCTCAACCGCTTGACAGGGTGTTGTATAAACAGGACATACAGGACCTATAGGAAAATGACTCCTGAATTTTGCCAAAACAAGGTGAAATGGTCCTTCAGGTTCTTGCTTCACAGAGGAGACTGCCAGACATTGTGCAGGATATAGGGAGAAGCGACTGAGAAACTCTAGGCCTATAGGCTAAAGATATCGGGTGATTGTCCAGGCAGCCAGCTGTCTTTGTCATTCTAAATTTTTGGAAGTTGCTTACAATGCACTTCCTGTTTACTGATGTAATATTATATCCTTCTGGGGTCTTTGATGTGGTTGAAGACTAAATAGTTATAATTTTCCTTGGTTATGATAAAAGATAAATTAGATATGAAACCTTAGACTCACAAATACAGGATAGATAGAATATTTTCTTTAATTTTGCCAAATACAAATAGACTATGTATTGTTTTTCATCTTAGTTATTATTGTTTTTTCATTTTTCTTTATTAAGAAATTTTCTACTCACTCCACATGCTATCCACAGACCCCCCTCTTCCCTTCTCCCACCCCCAGCCCTCTTTCCCAAGCCACAACACATCCCCACATCCCCCAAATCGAGGTGTCCCATGAGGAGTCAGCAGAGCCCAGCACACTGAGCCTAGGCAGGTCCAAGCCCCTTCCCACTGCACCAAGGCTGTGCAAGGCGTCACACCACAGGCACCGGATTCCAGAAGCCTACCCATAGACCAGGGACAGATCCTGATCTCCCTGCCTGAGTGTGCCCCAAACAGTTTGAGCCAAACAACCATCTTCTGTACCCAGAGGGCCTAGTGCAGTCTCATGGGGGCTCCACAGCCACCAGTCCACAGTTCATGGGCTTCCATTAAGTGTGGCCGGTCATCTCTGCACGTCTTCCCATCATGATCTCGACGTCCCCCACCTGCAGAATCCCTCCTCTCTCTCATCAGTTGGATTCCTGGAGCTCAGCCTGATGCCTGGCCGTGGATCTCTGCATCTGCCTCCATCAGTCACTGGACAAAGGCTCTATGATGACAGGTTATTTGCTAGGCTGGTCACCAGAATAGACTGGTCCAGGCACCCTCTGGACCATTGCCAGCAGACCAAGGTGGGGTCAACCTTGTGGATTCCTGAGAGCCTCCTCAGCACCCTGCCTCTTCTTATTCCCATGATGTCCTCATCTATCACGGTATCTTCCTCCCTGCCCTCCCACTCTGTCCCTGTTCCACCTTGACCCTCCCATTTCCCTATGTTCTCTTTCCCTACTCCTTGCTCTCTGCCACCACCACCCCCTCCCACCCAGTTCATTCATGTAGATCTCATCTACTTCTCCTTCACAGGATCATCCATAGGGTCTTTCCCACCTATGGTCTTTCCCTGTTAGCTAGCCTCTCTGGAGTTATGGGTTGCAGTCTGGCCATCCCTTCCCTCCCATTTATTATCCACTTATGAGTGAGTACATACTATGTTTGTCCTTCTGAGTCTGGGTTACCTCACTCAAGATGATATTTTCTAGATCCATCCATTTGCCTGCAAATTTCAGGATATCATTTTTTTTTTTACTGCTGAGTAGTACTCCATTGTGTATATGTGCCATATTTTCTTTATCCATTCTTCAGTTGAGGGGCATCTAGGTTGTTTCCAGGTTCTTCCTATTACGAATAATGATGATATGAACATAGTTGAACATTTGTCCTTGTGGTAGGATTGAGCATTCCTTGGGTATATGCCCAAGAGTGGTATAACTGGTAGACTAGCTATTGTAACTATAATTTTTGCTTGATAACTGTTTTGTTATATATAATTTTACTATGTTAAAATCTTCCTTTTTGATTAGACATAAAAGGGGAAGTGCTGTGGGATATCTTTCTGTATGATGTGAATATGTATTGCTCTGATTGGTTGATAAATAAAGCTGCATTGGTCTGTGGCAGCTTAGAGGCAGGGAAATCCAAGCAGATATATGGAGAGAAGAAAGGAGAGGAGAAAGACACCAGCCCGTCACTCAGTGAGCAATATGCCATCAGACTGTCAATGCTACAGCCATGTGGCAAAACATAGATGAATAGAAATGGGTTAATTTAAGATGTTAGAGCTATCTAGCAAGAATCTTAAACCATTTACCATACAGTTTGTAATTAATATAAGCCTCTGAGTGATTATTTTATAAGCAGTTGCAGGACCGTGAGGCTGGGTAGGAGTGGAGAAACCTTCTGGCTACAGCCAATGATTCACCAAGCTGTACTTGAGTGTAATCATTCCCATGATCTGTCACTGAGGTCCTATATGGAATGGATATATGTTTATTCATTTTCCCTAGGCTAAGTAACACAACACTGCTCATGGAGAGTTACCTAAAAATCTTAAAGGGGTTATTAGTGGAACATGAATGAACCTATTTTTAAAAGTCTAAGTTTGTTGGCATGACTATATTAGATCATTCTTAAAAGTGAATGGAAAGAGGTAATTGATTATACATGGGAGGGGATGGGGTACAGACAGAATTAAAAGGTTATTGGAGACAGCTTCTGTGGGAGTGGGATAGGATAAGAGGAACTACAGTTTGCAAAGAAGCAGTAATCCAAATGTTCACAATACCCAGGGAGGAGGTAGGCCATTTGAATGTGATCCAAGGTGTTTGGGCACCTCGCCCAAAGACTCTCATGGATACTCATGCCCAGGAAACCTCAAAGCCACTTCAAGGAATCAAGTATTTATTTGGATGAGAGTAGACAACAGACTAGCGGAGCAGTATCAAATGTAGCCCATATTTTCCCAGCTTGTCATATAATTTTAACTTTACCTATGGAAAAGAACTTTACATTTTGGTTATTCTATCAGTTTTGAACTCCATTATGTTGATTGCTATTTCAACTTGAGAGACTCTTCTTTCTGGTTTGGAATACTTTTTTTTATTGGCTTCTTCCCTAAAAATAATTTAACTTCAATGAATGCATGGAATATATTTATTTATAGTAATGTAACATTTGTGGATGAAGACATATTCAAAATCATATTGAAAACTTTTCACATTTAAACACATCTCAGGATGATACAGTATAATTTGTAAAAAAAAAAAAAAAAGAACCACATACAAAACAAATGTTTGTATAAAACCAGAAAGTAAATGTCTTATTTTTGTGATGTTTGATGTAACTAAGAAAACTTTGTCATTGCCCATGAGCCTTGAACTATATAAAGGTCACAGTGGCCTCCTTTGTGTTTCTTTTCAAGGTAAATAATAAATTACGAAGATTATTTTGTTGACTTATCTTTAAATTGCAAGTTTGTGAGGATCTTTTGAAATGAACCAAAATGAGCCATATTCATGCAACCACTGGATCAGATGATCCTTGGAATAAACAACAAATGAATTTCTGAATTTCAAGTGGTTGCAAATAAAATAGCATGCAGAATAAGCTCAGCCTCCCACTGCCAAAGCCCCTAATTTTCCTTTATTTCATGCATTTATTGAACATTTTCCCTGTGACCAAATGAGGAACTTTAGCATATGGGTGGTATAGCCATAAGACAGCTCCAAATCTGGTTTTTCATTTATCTACAGTATTGACCAGCTTCTGAAAACATAAATTAAGAATTCATTTTATTTCTTTTGGAACTATTATTTTGAATCAGGTTGATATGTTTCTGACTATAAATAACATGTGACAATGCCATATTTATGCTCTCTTCTATTTTCTGTTATCAGCCTTTACAACCCCTCTTTTCATTGCTAATAAACTATATATATGTACTCTCCTCTTTGAATAAGGTTCCTACTTTTCATTCTCCACCAGACATGATGATACTGGGGTAGGATATGAAGGAAGGTAGTATTGACATTTGCTTGGGTTTACCCATACTGAATAACTCTGAGATACCTATGTGTCCACCACAGTGTTCCCTGTGTACCCAAAATATGTCATACTCTATCCTATTTGATTCTATGTCTATATGTTCCGCATATCTAGAGGAAACATTATTAGTTTCTATTTTCACAGGTGTAGCCTCAGAACAATTTTGCTAGATATTATGTGTGCATGTGTATGTTTCCTATATATGTTCACGTACACTTGGAGGGCATAGATAATCATCGGACATCTTCCTCAGTTGCTTGCCACCTTATTTTTTTCCTTATTGAATCAGAAGCTCTGATTTGGCTACAGTGGCTGGCCAGCAAGCTCCAGGAATCCACTTGTTACCTCCTCCCCCGGTGCTGAGTTTATAACAGTTTTACTATTACTTTAGGACTCCACATTGACACTTCTGAGTTTGAATGACAAAGTCTTTACTGGCTCGTATCCCCAGTCTATAGAAAGAGCTCTTAGTAGATAAATACAGCTTTCCTTGACCAGAACTGTACAACAGAGAGACCCTTGAATATCCTCTAATAGGTAGATTCTTACCTATTTTAAAGATATTATTCCTCTAATGAGCCCAAATTTCAAGACACCATGGTTGTGTATTTCAATAATGATACAAATCAATAACTGCAAATTTTTATTTAAGAAGCCAAACAATGATACATCACAGAGTTTTTGATCAAACAATTAGTTTCAAAGATTAACTCCATACAAATTGAATATAAGTGATTCAAACAGGCACATAACTTGAAACAAATCAAAAAGTACTTAAAAGATCCCACTGAGAGTGTGTGGCATTGTTCCTTATCTTATGGAGACTGTCTCAGATGAATGAATTGTGTTTTGTGTGTGTTTGTATGTGTGTGTGTGCCTGTGTATGTATGTGTATGTGTGTGCTTGTGTATACGTGTGTGATGGAAGGGGAAACAGAGAGATGTAGGGAGGGAGGGGTGGAGGGAGGGAAGGGAAGGAGGAAAGGAGGGAGGGAGAAGAAAAGAGGAGAGGGGAGAAGGAGGAGGGGAGGGAGGGAGGGAGAGAGAGAGGGACCAGAGAGAGAGGGAGAGAGAGAAAGAGGGGAGAGGGAGGGAGAGAGAGAGGCAGAGAGAGAGAGAGAGAGAGAGAGAGAGAGAGAGAGAGAGAGCAAGCAGAGGATAACATCCAGTGTCATCCTCAGCAATGCCATCCACCTGTTTGGAGACAGGGTCTCTCATTGGCCAGTTAGTTTCGACTAGCTGGCAAGCAAGCTCCAGAGATCTACTTGTCTACCCTTCTTTAGCACGGGACTGGAATTTTTATGTGATTTCTGGGGACTGGAATTTTTATGTGATTTCTGGGGACTGAATTTAGAGCCATAGGGCATGGGCTTTACTGATCTAGCTATCTGTCCAGCCCTCCAATAAATGAATCATGGCTTAGGTCTCGGTTTATCTCAGAAAGAATTTAATCTTCTGCATTCTGTTTGGGTGAAGGGATGGGGGTGTATGGGAAATAGTGCTTTGCTTATTGTAGTTCTTTGATGATTTTTACCTCTTGCTCTTTGCTCTTAGCATCTTTCTTTGTTTAAACTAATTCATTTATTGAGAAGTTTTGTTATCAGCCCTATCCTTTTTAGCGTTTTCTAGTTTTCAAACATTTCACAATATATCTTTTATTACAAGTGCTTTGGTAATAAAAAAAATTAAATCACCATGAAATCAAACCATACTTTCACCAGTGCTGCTCCTAACCTGCCAAAACGTTTATGCTTTAAACCATACTTAGAGTGGCCCTGGCTTTCAGGGGTGCCTCTCCACACATTTGTGATGTGCTGGGCCTTGTACTGTTATGAGGTGTAGTACATAAGTCATTTCTCCTATTACAAAGTATAATGGCTATGAAATGACATCGTTCCACTTTTCCTGATTCACCTGCCAAAGGCTATATAGATCACACATAGATTTACACCTAAGTTGGAAATATTCATTAGTGACATTTATTGCCGATGAACTACTTCAAATATTTCATTCTTTCATACTTGGCCACCCAATGCTTGCAGCTTCTTTTTCCTTGCTAGGTGCCAAATGTCTTTTCTTCATTACCATATTAGCCTTCAAAGCACAGCAATGCATTGGTAATCTTTCCTGTGTGCTTGCTTTGGGGTGACTTCACAGACTCTGCTTGCTATTTTCCTATGCTTGCTGGAATAATTGCCACAGAGAATAATGGGAGTTGAGCTGCTAAAACAGATTTTTTTAAATGTATTACTGCCTTAAACATATGATTTTAAGATAAAACTTATTAGAAGCTTAATTTTGAGTAAATATTAAGAAAAAATTCTTAAAAGGCTTTTCCTACATACTACTTTAAATGAGAAAAATTTCTGAAATCCAAACCTAGCAAGCTCCATTTGCTCAGCGATGAGGTACTTGCACCAATTTCCCCATGGCCTTTGGTGTACAAATTTTTTTAAAAAAAGAAAACTACTTCTAAAGTATTGATTTGACATTAAAGTTTGTTTACTTAAAGTAACTACTGAGCTTTAAAAAAGTAATTTGAATTGTAAACACTCAAGGATAAGCCAGTTTTAGGATCACATTATTGTGTCACAGTAACAGAAATGTGAATCACATTTAACTTGTGGATTCAGGTTCTCCTGTAAGCTGAACACTGAGCTCCTACACTCTTGAGAGAAGTCATAAGGAAAATCCAAATCTTCATTTCTGGCACAAAGGTTCCAGGAAATGATATACTGTCAGGAAATCACACACAGTCAGCTGCTTTCTGTTTTGGTTAACCAGGTAGTTTAAAAATTATTATCCCACTAGCAAAGTCTTCAGATTTTAGAAGCAGAACTAGAGGACTTATTGAGGTATACTTTGTGGTAGGTTCTGGAGTTTTTTCTCTTGCCCCAGAACTAACCATGGCATTGAGGATGGATAGGTATAAATCACGTTTTCTTACCAGGTAGCAGTTACCATAGGTGAGAAAATATCACCTATTTTTGGCGTCTATAAAATATTTGGGTATGGACTGGCATGAATTTCACTACATTTTGCAGACCTTAGTATACAATGAATGTTATTTTTTTAAAGGCTTACTTACCTACAAAAATGACTAAATTTGAGATTATCACTTAATTACTTTAATTTCTCAGTTTGCAGTGATAAAAACGTGAAAATGTAAGTATTAGCTATCAATGTTATTTTCATTTTGTAACATTGCTTTGTGTAATAACTGGAAGGGCATTTTATATAGTTAAATGTAGGACTGGGAAAATATTCAATGCTGTCTGATGGTCACAGTATTGGCTAGATAACAGAATTCAGAACTCACCCAGTCATGGGGACAGAATTTGACGCCGACTTTGAAGTATTAAAAAAAAAAAAAACTCTCTACAGTACATGTGTATTGGAGTTCAGTCCTGTATTCAAACTAGTAAATGTATTGTTTGGTCGATTAGATTGTCTAGATTGTAAAAACAGCTATTGCATATATTTGGAGCTTCAGGAAGGGGGAACCAAACATCTGAGGTTTTCTTTTCTTCTTAGATAGAGAAAACCAGTTTAACAAGGGGTAGAAAAAAATCACAACTGGTCTCCAACTGTGGATTTCTTGTGAAAAGAATCAGGTGGCATATCCCCCTTGATCACTGTAATTTTCTTTGTGCATGCAGGTTGTTCAACCTTAGTCTGGGCTACAAAATTCATTGTTTTTGTTTCTTAATCTAACCTTCACTTTTTTTTCTTTTGAAGAAGCTTACTTGGGGCCAATTCATTTGAAAGTCAATTGTAATTTATAACAGGTTTCTTTACTCCACGCTGTAAATCTGAATACAGATACTGTCCAAACTGTCCTAAGAGTGATGTTTGAATTCACAGTAACAAAAGTTACAAAGTTTGTGCAAAAGATATTGTACACCATTGGAGTACATAGAGCTTGCTATAGTTAATTTTATTTATAAAGCTGCATTTCTCATTGAAACTATTATGTGCTACATTAAAAGCCTGATTAAAGTGTTTCTAACGGTAAAACTGAAATGTTAAGATGCAATGGCATGTATGTGATGGATGTAAATGTTGTAGTAAATCACTGGAACCGTTTAAACAGCATAATGTTTGTGGAGCTCTTCAAGTTTTCCAAGGGTCATAAAGTAAACCCGGCTGTGGTGATTGCTCAGTGTAGAAGTGAAGAACAGCTTTAAAAAAATAAGAGAAAAACAACATCAGTGAGTTTCTAATCCATTTTAGCTAGATAATTAATAAACAAACAGTACCAGTTTATAACTACAATTTGATGTAATTAAAATATTAAACCATCTTATTTTGAATAACTTTTCTTTATTTTAAGGAACATAAATTTGATTAGTTTGGAATTTAAATTATGTATTTCAAATTATGTATTTCAAACCTTTTCATCATAGTCTATAGAATTATAATTCATATAGTTTATTATTTGGCTTTGTTTTCACTTTTAAAATTTATTCTTTGAGACTTTCATACACTGCACAATGAATTATGATCACGTGATCATTTTTAGCGTCCCCCCAACCCCTTCAACATGTTTCCTCCCATATTCTTTTTTTTTTAAATTTATAACCCACTGGGTTCAATCAGTGCTGACCATATGTGCACAGGAGTGAGGCCATCCACTGCTGTGGATATCATTCTATATAAATAAAACACTGATGGCCAGTGACCAGGCAGGAAGTAGGTTGCCAGGCAGGAAGTAGATGGGACAAGGAGAGAGGAGAATTCTGGGAAGCGGAAGGCTGAGGAGGGAGACACTGCAGCCATCGCCAGGAGAAGCAGCATGTAAAGACGCCGGGAAGCCACCAGCCACGTGGCAAGGTATAGATTTATAAAAATGGGTTAACTTAAGATAAAAGAACAGTTAGCAAGAAGCCTGCCACGGCCATACAGTTTGTAAGTGATATAAGCATCTGAGTGATTATTTTATAAGTGGATTGTGGGACTGCGGGGCTTGGGGAACCTGGAGAGAAGCCCTCCAGCAACAATCCACAGATCATGGGAACTTACCAGTGCCCTTCCCAAAGAATAATGATTCTCCTTTCCTTAGCAGCTACCAACTGCCATATCATATTTATAGTAGGTGGTCTTCTTGGGCTGAAGTTCCTTATTAGTTTTAGTTAACAACACTTTCCTTAAGCTGAGCAGGATGACACCAATGGACATGCCAAATTGGACTGGGGAAATCCCACAAGACCTCCACTCTACATAAAGAACTACAGGCAACTGAGCGAAGCTGGGAGCTGGAAGTGGGAGAGGTGTTTTCCCCAGGAAAGAGGACACCAATCAGTTGTCCAGTGCCAAAAGATCAGCCCTCAATACATACACACAGGTAACATTATATGAACTGAACAGCTTATATTTAGGAATACATATGCATATACATATATGCATGCAATAAAAAATAGTGAAAAAAGGGACTGTGAATTTGAATGATGGGGAGGAGTATACCGGAGAGTTTGAAGGGAAGAAAGAGAATTAAATCCTCTACTCATTTTAGTTCATTTCACTGAAACAGAAAATCATAAAAAAGTAGAAAATTTCTATAACTTCTTAAATATAAGCAGAAGTGGTGACAGAAAAAATAATTTTTTTCCTTGTATTAAAAGGGAAGACAATTTGATTTAGAATGAATTTGTTTTTATTTTTTGAGATTATAATTGAATTGCAACATTTTTTTTTCCATTCCCTAGTATAATGAGTTAAACCCAGTGGGACAGGGAGGAACATGTTGTGTAAATGTGGATTCTTCCATAATAAAGAAAATTGAAACAGAACACAGACATAAGTGTCAAATGGAAGACAAAGCTTTCTTATGTCATGAAAAGTTAAACTTAACAGGGCATGATGATGATAATGATGAACGTAAGACAAACCAGCTAACTTTAACACATTTCATGCGCCAAATACTCTGTAAGATGCTTACTATATACATATTATGTAAGAATTTTACCTTTGTTCCCCAGTTATTAATAGTTCCATCTTAGAGACAAAGGGATTAAGTTTTTAAAAGATAAAACAATGGTTGGTGAAAAGGCCCAATAGTACAGAGTTTGTATAGCATGTGTGAGGTCCTGGGTTCCATGCCCAGCATTCTCCCACCCCCTGAAAAAAGACACATAGGAAAGATCAATTCAGATTCTCTGGTTATCACATCTTGTTAGGCGACAGAGCCAGAACTGCAACCCCAAACTCTCTGATCTCAAACCCTGGCTCTTAGCATTACATTCCAAACTGGGCACCTTTCCTTGACATGCAGTGATTTTGCCCTGCTTTCTCTTCTATTAATTTGAAGTCTGTGTAATCCTTGGTAATGATTCTTAATCCTTTTAAAATTATTTTTTGAAAGCATTACTTCTTAAAATATTAATTTAGGTGATGAACTTTCCCATCTAGCTATTTTTAGTAGTTAACATGGATCAAATTTCACAGACAATTTCCAAGTCTCAATTTTAGTTTTCTTTCCTGTAAAATAGTCATCATTATACCTACTTGTGAAGATAAATTCAGACAGCTTTTAAAATAGCAAGCATAAAGCCTAACATATAATTATATATTCAACAAACGTAAGTACTTTTTCCTTCTTTTATTCTTGGAATATGCTGAAAGCTAGAAATAGAAGATTTTCAAAAAGCAAAGAAATGCTGGTCAGGAGATGGCAAAAGAGGATTTCTTACACACTGTTGGTGGGAGTGCATTATTATAGCTATCATGGAAAATAGTATGAAAGATCCACGAAAAACAACCAACCAACCAAACACTGTACAAAAAAGACAACAACAAAAAACCAACCCTAATAAACTTGCCATGTTCTCTGGCTCTAAGACCTTGGTATGTATCCACAGGATTTGGGTACCAGCCTACCAGAGATATTTATATCCATGGTGATTGGAGCACTATCCACAATAACTTTTGAGTAAATCTAGGCACCCATCAACCAATGAATAGACAAAAACCAAGAAAACAAAAACCCCCAAAGACTAAATCATCCATTTGCAGCAAAATATATAGAATTAGAGAACTTATGTTAATTGAAATAAGCTAAAAACAAAATATTAATGTTTTCTTTCAACTATCAAAGCTAAACCTATCTATCTAAAGATTAGGAATGATGTTGGGACTAAGGTAGATAAAGGGAGATCTGATTAGTGCACATGGAGGGCATGTACTGAAATAGCACAATGAATGTCAGTGATATGCACAATTAAATTATGATAATTAAACCCAAAATATTTAAATCATCCTAAGGAGGCAGATTCGCTCTCATATTTTTATGAAATTTCTTTGTATGAAAATGACTATGGATCAAAAATAATGAAAGTTCACGCCAAATAAAATATCAAAGTTTAATTAGGATATTACTAGAGATTTTTACTTCAAAATTAGGGTTCTTTTGAAACAAAAATTACATTATTTGCCTAATCTATTTCTGCTGCAAAAAGATAATTGTTTTTATTAATAAAAATTTAAAGTTTTAAATTGCCAGTTTAAAAAATGTATATTCCTAAATATTATGAGCAGAAAGTCTAATTACTGTCAGTGCCTGGTTTCTTTTTGCTTTACTGGAGGCTGTAAACTATACCTTGTCACCACGGGTACACAGGAATCGCAGTTTCTTGATTGACCTGCGCTTCAGCTCATTCTCGAGAATAGTGGACTGCAGGGACCGCGCTTCAATAGCCTTTTGGTCCCACCCGGTGATTCTCTGTGTACACTCAAAAGCTACAACACAAATGGAAAAAGAACATCTCAGTTTTGTAGCAGTAAGATAAAAAATCGTAATTACAGTTAACTATTAAGAAGTTAACAGTTACAGGTATGGTTAAACCCATCTGGTTTTGACCTTATTCTGAAGTCTGCCATTTTGGATGTTTTGCTGCTTAGGGCTGGTATTCAGAGTAGTTATCTATAGATTCCCACAGTGATCAACATTGACTTGCTAGATCTTCGTTCATCTTTGTATTCATATACTGTAAGACCACAGTCTAACACAAGGGTTAACGACTTTGTAAACATTCAAATCAACCCACGGCTTAAACAAGCAATAACAGTGTAGGTAAAGTACAGTGGACCCAATAAAGAACTGTATTGTAACACATATGGAAAACTGATTCATAAAAAAACTAAAACAAGGGGAACAGATTTAGTTCAGTGGCAGAGTGCAAGGCTCTGGGTTCAGTTCTCAGCCCTGAAAAGAATTAAAACTAATAATTATTACTAAATAATACCTTATTCAAATAATGACTTTAGTAACTAATTTAATTGAATAAACATTCCTGCTATAAGCAGAACTGAGGGTAATTTTATACATCTCAGGCTTTTTCTTGTAGAGGAAAACTGTATTACATTTTAAACTTTTAGGCCTATTTTATAATCTTTTGTGACAATATCATTTATGAAAATTCTATCTGAAAGAATACTTATTATGAAAAATCCATATACTTCATTGATTCTGTAAAGTAGTTTATGGCTGAAGAAGTAATATTAGTAAATATTTGACTTTCAAGTTACTATTCTTTATCAAATTTATGGGGAAGAAAATTTCCACACATAAATTGTAACATTTAAAATGACACAAAATTTAACTGCAGTCAAAATACAAAATGGGGCACTTTGATGAAAGCAAAATTCTTAATCTGACTATTTTCCTTTATTTTGAAGGGAGAAATTAGCATTAGTATAGCTATATCATTTTATAAGAAAAATGGCCTGTTTTCATCCAATGCTCTCGGGAACTCTCATTTACCTGCTGTATTCAACATTAAATTTACATAAAATAACTTATGGAAGACTAGGTAAACTATAAAAGTAACCAGCAAATGCGTACTGTGAGCAGTGTAGCTTATCTCAAAGAAAAGTGCAAAGCATGTGTTATCCCAGTTTTTATTATAATGCAAATTACTTACCTGTGTGATTTTGATATCAAAACTGTCACTAAATTATTATCATATTTTGACTTGAAATAACTTTCTTAGTGTAATTTTCCGCCCTAACTAAATTTGTCACAGGAAGTATAAAGAACCAATGGCCTGGCTTACAGTAACTAGTAACTTATTTAGCACATACGAATTTTAATTTTTTACTCACATGACTACTATATTAAAATAGTATTGTTCTAAAGAGCCACACAGAGAAAAATTTTCTAATTTAACATAGCCTGTCTACTGAGTCCACCACCCAGTGTTATATCATCACAGATCCTCTTAACCTAGATACTTACTGAACTAGTTTGGTTTCTGAAATGAGACTCTAAAATCTGGAAGTAGAGATTTTTGGTGAAACTTTCTACAATTCTTAAACTTCTATACAATTATTTGTGAATAAAGAACATTGTCCTTGTTATTGAAAACATTATAATTTAAAGAAGTATAAAATTTATTTTAGGAAACTCTGGATTTAAGCAGGTTGTAAAAGCAAGTTGTTTTCAGTTAGAAAACAGATTGAATAATTTCCTTGACATCAGTGTCATATTGTACTATATTCTCATTATGCACTAAACAAACAGTAATATCATGTATTTGTAGTGCTATAATTTGTTTTATATATACATGTCTTTCAAATTCTACCAGAGCTTTTTGATCTAGGTTAGAAATTTTCTTGCCCAGGGACAAAGATGTTGTAGACATTGAACATCCCTTTTACTCTTAGGATCATCTAGTGGCTTGAATATTAGGGTTATTCTCAGGTTCCTATTTTGACTTGGCTACCTGATTTTCATTTCTGGTTCATGTACTTTTTGAGGTTCTGGGGATGCATTCTTTCCCCAGGCTGCATCACTAGTTCCTACTTGACTTATTATTCCTGAAAGTATCACTATAAAAGATATAACATGACTCATCGCTTTTACTTTCTTTTGCCCTAGATCCATCAATTTGTACCATAAGCATTTAGTATCTGTCATTTATAACGGTTTAAAACCCTTTGTGAATTCTTACCTGTTTGAATAAATTAGAGCAGGTTTTCAGAAAAATCCTTAACATTGACTATGTATAAAAAAATTAAGATTCTGCAGATGCAATACAAAAAACTATCTCCCCATAGAAAATTGCCCAAAAATGAGTTCTTTCAAATTGGTCATTAAAACATTGTGGGCATCACTTTTCTACCCACTGTAGACATTTTGGGGGATTCTGGCCTCTGTCTGGATAGCTTTTCCTTCTCTTTCCAACTGTCTCTTCAAACACACAGACACACACAGACACAGACACAGACACACACAGACACACAGACACAGACACACACAGACACACACACACACACACACACACACACACACACACGGGGTGGGAGGAGAGCTGTCATAGATCTTATCATTCTACCCTTTACTCTTTCTAACATTTTAACTATTTGTGTGTATTTTGTTCTCTAGTCACTAAACGTACAAAAGAATCTCAAATTATTTTAATTTCACAAGCCAGCAGCCCTAGGCACAAAAAATGGAATTCTCTATGTTACCACAGGTATTCCAGAAAGTTCTGTCTTTTTATATAAGTGATTTCATACAAATACCACTCTATAAACAGGACATTGATGACTAGACAAAATAGAAGTACTTTTTTTTTATGTGTAGTACTTTAAATTACCCTTCAGTGCTTTAAGAAAAAAAAAACAATTCTGGAAACCTTATTTAGTACACATTTTCATTCTCTGAAAGCTTCTCCGGATCATCTGAGAGAAAAAGGAATTTGGTACATACCTACAGAAGACGGTATGTCTTTCCAGACTTCAAGGATCTTCTTGAAGAGTTGTTCATTAGCTTCCTCAGAGGCACCTTCAGCGTTGAAGGTGAGCATCACGCCAATTCCCAAGTAATTAGGTAAAATGATGATATTCTGCGATATAATGATTTCCAGGTACCGGGATTATGTTTCATAAAGATTTTTGTGTACAGAATTTTATCACTATTATGTTAATTGAAGTAACTATTACTTTAACCGAAGATCAAAAGATGCTCAGCATGCAGGGAGAAAGGTAATCTCTGTTTCTCAATTCAATAGAATAACATAAACTAAACATTTGAGAAGAGCTGGTTTCCATTAAGTCATCAGTTTTAATATTCTCTATTTTTTGTTTAGGATAATAATTTGGAAAAAAAGTAGAGCTGTACTTCCAACATAGAGAAATTTCTTGAAATGCCATAAAAGTATTGTACATTGTAATAGAAAAAATAATACAGTTCTGGATTTAAGATTCATTTCAGAAATTAAGCAATATTTTCATAATGAATGTGTGAGCTAAGTATCAAATCATATATATATATATATATATATATATATATATATATATATATAATTCTTGGTCATCAGCAAATTCATGGAAAAAGGGAAAATAAACCTCATAGAGCTTAAGCTTAAAATGTTTTAAGGGACAACTTTTAATACTGTTTCTGGCTTGTTTTATTATATTTGTCCCATATTCAAGAAAATGCAGAATATCTCATTCAAGTCACATAATGTTAATATAGGCTCTATATGCAAATTCAGAAGTATTGGTTGGCAGAATAAGGAAATACTAAGAGATAACTAAGCATTTGTAAGTTTTCAGATTCATAAATGGGACAGAAATCTGTTTAGAGCACAGATATTATGCCACTGACAGTATTTCTCTGATAATTTTTAAAAAAAAATGTGTTTTGCTGTTTTTCCAAATTAGCAAGTTACGGGGGTGGGGAAGGTCAGAAGCTATACTTGCCAAAGCCAGCGTACTCAGGCCAAGTGCTTGAGGCCATGTCTCAGCAACAACAATCCTCAAAACTAAAATAGGAATCCAGAGGCGAAACGCAATTTTAATGCGTTCCCTGGGTACTTGCATGAGCAGTTGAATCAGAAAAAAGATAAGAAAGAATGAAAGAAAATGCAAGAAATAAGGTTGTCTCAAAAAAAATCTATTTGTAATAAAATGGGACGGCTGCAAATCCAGACAGCCTCCGAGGTAATTTCCTTGCTTCTAAGGTGCTTGCTGAAGCAACGGATACTCTTAGCATGTGTGGCTCCCCGCACTATTAGAGTCTTTGTAACCTAGCGCTTGGGAGAAAATATTATTTTTAGGACATTCTCTTTCAGAAGGCACCCTCCTTTCATATTAGAGTCCTTTCTATTTTAGTGGGTCAAGACACTAGGGAATTTGTCTAAAAATATGTTTGCATATATATGAGGTGTCCTAATTAGGTCAGAAAATGATTTGTAAAATCTCTACTTTTTTCATTCTCCTTTCTACAGTTAATTAATTGATTTTCTAAAGCAAATAATTTCCCTGCTTATTATTTAGATTTAAACTTTTTCAGTGATTTTATTTTTTAAGCCAGTAACTAGTGTATCCCAGGCTGGCCTCAAATTTGCTAAATAAGCCAATGCTGGTCATAATATTACCAAACTTCCTGCCTACACTTCCAAAGTTATGGGATTATATGTGTGTATTAATATGCCTGGTTGAGCTTTTCAATAAATGTAGACTTAAACCAATACTCAAATATTCCTTGTTGCACTGGCTTCTGAATAAAGGTTATCTATTATGATGATAAATATAGGATGCAGGAATCTACAGAGATAACTTAAATGAAGAATAACATAGTTATATCAAAATTATTTTGTGGTTTTGGCTGAGATTGTGTTTAATATTTTCACAGTACAAATGGTAAATTGTTTATATAGGCAACTACTAGGTTACTAACTAATGATTGTTAGTTTTATCAAAATACCTTTAAAAATGTCTTCATCAATGTGCTGCTGATTGTTTTTATGTAATTGTTTTAATTGCATTATTGGAGATGTAGGCTGTATTCTTAAAAATGTTCAAAATACCACACAAATTGAGTGATATAAAGTATATAAATGTCTTGCCCAAGGATTTTATGTAATGATAAGCTGCTGAAATTTTAATATTCAACAAACTGAATATTGATAAAGGATGAAGAGAAAAACAATTGCTGGTAAAGACAGCAGTTTTACATATAATTCTCAACAAGGCAAAATCAATTCTACCATCAATATTTTGTATGATGAATTTGGTGTGGTATGATGTTATTGTCAAGCTCTTTATATTAATAATGAGTGTTTGTACAGCCATTCACAATTTAGATCTTGTGCTTTATTTACATGTTGAAAATTGTGGTGCATTTACTTTAAAAATATTGAATCTTGTCATCACAAATTTCCAAATATAATGAATATCATAAATGAATTTTGAAGTAATTTGCTATAGTCTATAGATAATTCAATAAAGATGGGATTGCACATAATTATGTAATTGTGCTATTGATTTCTTAACAAAGTATATTAGTATATTACAGGGTATAGAAATACTAAAGCCAACTGAAAAGCATCCTAGGATAATTAGTATAAATGCACAAAGATGAATGGATAGTGAATGTAGAACACAAAGCCATTAAAAGGAGGCAGCCCTCAATTAGTTCCACTTGATAATGGCCAGATGGTGGTGTGGGCTTGAGATTATCAGTTCTGGTTAATCAATATAACTCTGGATTTTAAAGGTTACATGTATTCATTATTAACAACATCATTATGTTCAAACAAAATCTGTCTGCAGACTGCACTTAAATATCTGAAATATGAAACCATTAGTGATTTTTTTTTTATATAGCAACACTTTCTGGCATGCTAAACTTACCTGTTAGATCTCTATACCCTCAGACATACATGTACATGCAGGCAAAACATACATGAAATAAAAATAAATATCACTTTTAGAAAGTAAAAGAAATAAAGGAAAATTATACTTTAAACCTTTGAGAATTTTGATAACTGAAAAAATTCAAAGTGTTTACAATAAGTTCTATGGAACTGAAGGTATTATCTTACGTTATTTGGCAAGGTCACATCAGACATAACTTCAGATTCTGCATCAATGATGTGATATCCATTAGCTGAGCTGAAGAAAATCTTCAGTGTTTTCTCAGAACCAATAGCCAGATCAACTGTCACTGGCTTAAGATCAAGAGTTGGAAACACCTGAAAATATAAAAGCAAATATGGCCCAAAGGCCAAAATGACATTCTGACTATGCAAAAATTTCCCTATTCTTTTGCCATATTTATGAGTTTATAAAACTCAGGTGGCTGTTTATGATTGGTTGATTGACTGATTTATGATCCTGGGGATTGAATCTAGGGCTTCCTATAGCCTACAATGACCAAGTGGTTAAGACCTTCAAAACCGCATATGGCCTTGTTCTCTCATTAGCTGTCCTTAAATTCCTTGCCTTGAGCTTCAGCAAATGAAGGAGCTCATCTGGTCTCTTAAACCGGTTCGCTGGATCAGCTGCCTGTATTTTTGCCAATATTCGTATATAGGCTTCATAGGACATGTAGTCTCCTTCGGAGTCTGCTGACTGATCAATGCATACTTGGTAAGGAATGAAAAAGGCCATACACATTAACCTATGATAGACAGACTATTCTCTAAGACTCCTATGGTGTATAGTCCAAGGAAACGAAAGGACAAACAGGATTCATTGCTAAGATCAGATTATGTAAAGGACTGAGCATCACAGGATTCACAACAATGTGGTCATGAGGTGGACATCAAGAATGGAAATGAGGACTCGGACAGGAACTAGCTAGACATATTGTTAGTACTTATCTCTTTGTTTTCCAGTTCCATACCAGGTAGCGCTGACAAGTCAGCAGACACCCAAGAATTAACTCATATCCAAATGTTGACAGCTGAGCCAAGACCCAATTTAGGCAGATCAGATCAGGGATGCTCTATCTGTCATGGTAGACCAATTGTCTATAGAGTAGCCTATTCTATCTAGAAAAGGGATACTCTGCAAACAGTGAAAATAGTTCTTGAGGAGTATTCATATGTGTTTTACAATGATCAATGTATATATGTGATGTGTTGTCCTAAAAATTAGAACATATAAATAGATGCTGACCTAAGATACAAATGCATTTCATGAATACCTTGAAGATTATCAGGATGTGCTCCTATCAGTCCTTTTTCAAACCTGTGTGTGGACCAAGTAGTTCAGTATCATTGAAAACATTTGTTAAAAACAGATTCTCAGGCCCCACTGCAGACTCATTAATTCAGCCTGGGGTTGGGTCCGAGATCTAAATATTTAACAAATGCTCCCACTGATTCTGATGCCTATAATAAGCAAGACAAAATAGCTACTTGGATTTCTAAAAAAAAAAAATCTGTCCTATTTGAATATAACTCAATTTATGGGAAAGGAAAAAAATCAGCAGCAGTTTGTTTGGGCCATTAGATGGCTAGTTTCCATAGCTGATCCATATAAGTTCAGTTAAATAGTAAGATGTAATGCATACTGTGCCTACTCACTCTGTCCCAGAACACTACTACAGAGAAGTGTCTTTCAGACCAGAAGAAATACTGACCCCCACTTCCTTCCCCCACCCATGTATTGTTGTAAGGATAGTTGGAGCAAACCTTTTTCTCCCAACTTCCAATGTGGCTTCCTTAGTATCTCCACATCTCATCTTACCTTCCCTCTGCTCTCCACCCCCCACTAAGAGAGAACAGGGACTTTCCCAGCTTCAAGTCATTGGGGTGGCACCTGAAGCCTGTGTTTGGGCCTCTAGAAGAGAAGATCTTCATGTTGACTACAGGAAATGGGAGTGAGGAGCTGGTGGGGATGTCCTGTAAGGGGAGGGGTTGGGGACTTCCCTCAAACTCTCCCTTGCTGTGGCACCTGTGGATTGTCTAAAAAAGGGTTAAATGATAATTATTGACATGACATATTCAAATTGCAATAACTGTAGCCGAATGGTATATATTTCCACATCTACATTCCAAACTACTATTTTGTTTATAATTTCTTCTTTAGAGAAAAACAGTATGATGCAAATAAAATGGTCACTCACTTTAATAGCAGTGCTTTCATCAAAGGATTTTGGTGCCCATGCAAAAAGGTGAATTGATGATTTCAAAGCAACTGCGATATATGTTGTTTCTTCATGTTGAACTATAATGGCAACATACAAAAAAGTCATACTTCAGAATTAGCAAGAACACTCAGAAATTTACATTTATTATCACAAATGAAATAACCATAGTGTTAAAATCAAAACTACATATTTTTAGAATAGCTACTTTGCTGGAGTTGTATTCTCTTCATTCAATATTAATATCACCGAATAATTCCATGGATTGTATTTATCAGCATTCAAGTGCATTTTATTCTTATTATACACTATAGCAAAATAAGAGAATAAAAATAAAGAAAGTAGTAAGGTTGAGTGACATAACTGTTATTTTATCACTTGGGAGGCTCAGGAAGGAAGGTTTTGTGTTTGAGGCCATCCTGGGGCTACATACCAAGAGCCTATCTCAGAAATCCAAGGGTTGTGAGTATTCTGGTAGTATGTGCAAAGCTCAGAGTTTCATTCTTAACAGAGAATAAAATATTAGAGAAATTCAAAATAAATGAAAAACTTTCCATGTTCATGGATAGGTAGATTTTCTTAAAATATAATTATCTAAAATAATCTTTACAGATTAAATTCAATCCATGTTGAAATCTCAATGATCTATTCTGTAGAAATAAAGAGGCTATTCCTAAATGTCACACACAATTTTATAAATGTTCTGACTCTTCAGAAAAGTCTTCCCAAAAGCTCAAAGTTGAAGTACACTCATTTTCTGATTTTAATGTTTACTATAAATTATACTAGTAGCACTTAATTCAGTTGTAAGAAAGAATGAGATTATATCATTTTCAGAAGTAGATATATCTAGAGATTATTATATTAAGTTAAACAAACCAGACTCAAGGAGACAAGCAGCATACATCTTTTTCTTACATATGTAATTTGTATTGAAGAAAAAGTAAAGGGGCTGGTGAGATGGCCCAGTGATTAAGACAGCAAACTGCTTTTGCACAGGATCCAAGATCATTGCCTGGCACCCTACTTGGACATCTTAAAACTGTCTGTTACTCTAGGACCTACAGTCTAGACCAATGGAATCTTGGCTGACCTTGTTGGATACCAGACACACATGGTGTACAGACATACATACAGGCAAAACAGTCATATGAATCAAATATTTTTTAAACAATGGGAATACAGACAAAATGAATACAATTGAGATTCACTAAGTGAAAGAAATCTGTTACAGAAGACCACAAAATACATGGATATTTTTCTGTTAGCTTCTGTGATAAGGCAAATACATAGAGAAAAAAATAGTTTAATCTTTTATCTAGTACTTCACAAAAAGTAGGAAAGGGGCCAGGCAGTGGTGGTGCACAGAGTGAGTTCCAGCACAGCCAAGGCTACAAAAAGAAACCTTGTCTTTAAAAACAAACAAAACAAGTGAAAAAAGGGAAGGAAATACTGTAATGGAATACTGGTTTCCTTGGAGAGAAAAATCTGAACTTTTATGTAAGAGCATAGTAATGGTTATTGAGTTGTCCACTTTAAAAAATATATTTCATAACATGTAAATAATTTCAAAAGCACTATTGATAGAGAAAGTAAAAGTTATACAAAGTGTATGCTTGTTTTATGTAACATCCCTCTTTTTTGGCTAGAATACTGCTTTTGTTCTGATTCTCTCCAATATTCTGTCTCTTGACCATATTTTCTTCCTCCTCTTTTAATTTATCTCTTCTACCATTCTACTTGTCAATGGAAGAAATGACTTTTGGTTGTCCTGGGTAGTAGTACCAATGATTGGAATGGACTCAGCTAGGAAAATGGACTTCATTTGTCCATTCAACTTGAGTACAGATTTCCAAGATTATCTTTGTAAAGATCTATCATTGAGATAAAAATTGCCAACTTAGTAAGAGGTAGTTGTACAATATAAACTCTTGGATTAGCATCTTGGAATATCTTTCACCTTTAGGGCTATCATATTTATATAATATGATTGCAGGCAGTGGTATTATCTGAAGCTATAATAAAGGATTTATCCTATACTTTAGCTTTCTAGATGCAAATTCTTTCATTTAATATTATATGTGTATATATGTGCACACATAAAAGCAAAAGGTCAGTTATGATATAATTTTTCTCTTGCAATTTATATAATGTGATTTTAGCAGTCGTTCACTTACACTACCAATTCTGCTTTAAGGGTCAATTGCTTCAGAGTAAAAGGAAACTGAGAATAGAGGGAATTTGATTCAGAAATGGAATAGACTGGGATAACATTATTTCATGGTTGTCTAAGACTCAGAACAGTATTCTGAGGCCCAAAGGGTTTATTACTCTATTTTCAGAGATATTTATAAAGAGATATATGACATGAAAATATTCTATAATGAAACATAAAGTATTAGGAGCAACAGTCAACAGATCACAGAAAAACTTTCAGATTCACTATAAAGTTTCCTGGTATTAGAGTATTAAATGGGATCATATTGTATTGCCATTCAAAGGAAAGGAAATATCACATACATCTCTGTAAGTTGCTAAAGATATATCAAGAATAGTTATAGTAAGGAAAATATTAATTTAATATATTAAGTGTGACTAGGAAAGGAAGAAAGAAGAAATAAACCAACTTTAACTCAGAGCTATTTCAGCCAATAGGTATGTACAAAGATATATAGAAAACTCCTAGGAAATGCCTTGATGACATTCACTCATATTTTCGTTCAAAATTGGAAATTCTTTCCTTTTTTTGTCTTGTCTTTTGTAATTATGAGCCTCTCCACATAAACGGAAGCATAAACTCTATAGCAAAAGTAAATGTGAAATGGACGTACGGACACTGAAGTGTTCACAGCCAGTCAGCTTATCAATAGCTTTACAAGCTTCCTCTTTCTTCAGCATTTCCTTCTGCCTTTTCTTACTTTCAGGATCATTATTCAGAATCTTGTTCCTCAGCCAAGTCAAATGGTACACGCGAAGTCTGTTCTTGCGGCCTGGTAGGAAAACATGATGTTTCAATTCTCTCCCTCTTTTTACATTCTAGAAATACAAAGAAGTAGGGCTGTGCTGCTCTCTCTTCAAAACCAAATTTTTGTTAAACTAAAAGTCACTTTTTAAAACTAACATGATATTCGTGTCTTCTGTTGGGCTCGACTAGTTGCCTCTGTGCCTATCTGAAGTGTATTCCACAAGGATAGGTTAAGACTGTCTCTACGCAGCCAACCCAACCCAAGGACTATCCATTCATTTGAACTTTCCTAAGTCTTGGCTCCTCTTCAGTTCCCAGACCTAGAGGCGGTTCCTGGTAATATGAATAGATAAGAAGATGTCTGAATGCTGACTGGGCTTTTGCAGCCAGGGAATTGGATTTCCTTGAGTTCTGTCAACCTAGCATGTTTAAAAATGAATTGGACACACTTATTTGTTTCTTCAATTCTTTTATCTTCTTAATTTTTATTTGTCTTTTAAGGCTTTTATTTTTATATACTTATAATGTATAATGTGGTATTTTTATTAATGTAGACATTGGTGCTGTGGGACGGTCTTTCTGTATGCTGTGATTATGTGTTGCTAGGATTGGTTAATAAAGAAGCTGCTCTGGCCTATGGCGAGTCAGGTTATAGCCAGGCAGGAAATCCAAGAGAGAGAGAGGAAGAAGAAAGGCAGAGGCAGGAGAGATGCCGGATTGCCATCCTAGGAGCAACATGTAATGGGATGCAGGTAAAGTGACAGAACACATGGCAATACATAGATTAATAGTTATGGGTTGATTTAAACTATAAAGGCTAGCTAGCAAGAGGCCTGCCATAGGCCATACCATTTGTAAATAATATTAAGCCTCTGAATGATTATTTTATAGGCAACTGAAGGACTGCGGGACTGTGGGACCGGGCATGACCAGAGAAACCTTCCTGCTACACATTGGGAAATAAGCATACTCATTAACTTAATTTTAAAACATTATTTATGGTGAGTAACATTCAAATTCTTCTCTTCTAACTATTTTGAGACACATAATGTGTTATTTTCCTTACATTCACCTATTGTGTCATAGAACAACAAAATGTAGTACTCTGATTTAAATTTTACCCACTATGTACCTGCTACTTTATATCACCTTTCATCCCCCTTTCCATTCAGTCCAGCTGCTGGTAACCATCAGTCTACCCTCAGCATCTTTGAGGTAATGCTTGAATTAATTATTTTAGTTTTTGAGATTATAATATAATAACATCATTTCCTCCTTCCCTTCCCTCTTTTCAAGCCCTCCCATATAACACTCCTTTCTCTCTTTTAAATCCATGGCCTCTATTGTCATTAATTGTTGTTACACACTTATATGTATATACATGGATATTCATAAATATATAAATATAACCTTTTGAGACAATTTTTATATTCTACTCATTAGTAATTTCCTAATTACTAATCCTATCAAGTTTTTATAATTTATTTGAACACTAAAGGCCCTATATGACTTTATTAATTTTTCTTTGTTATTTTTAATATTGTTATAAAAGTCCCAATAATAAGAATCTTTTTTTGAGATCACACTGGCTTCAAACTTGGAGATCCACTTTCCTCCTGAGTGCTGAGATTAAAAGCGTGTGCCTCCAAGCTCAGCCTACCACTAAAATTCTTAATGTGGTTAGTTTTACTGTGTTTTTATAGGGAAATTTAAAGAGGTGTTAGGGTTCAGAAAATTACACTTGTCATTTTATACTTAACAGAATAAGCTACTGAATAACTTCACATTGCATCCTTGTAAATTCTTTGCAGAGTAGCCTTTGAGGATCTTTATCTGAGGATGACTTTTTATAGTATTTGTCACAAAAATAATTTATAGGCTGAGGAATCCTTGATTACCATGCAAAAGGCCTTAGTTTTAAAACCCAGTACCAAACAAAAACAAATAGTTTTAAAACCCAGTACCAAAGAAAAACAAATTACAATTTGGTTAAGTTTAAGGATTGTGAAAAGGTATATCTGGGTTTGAGAAAATCAGATGAAAAAAAAATTCTCATCCAGACGTGTATAATCTCCAAGCTACCCAGATGTTTTCAAAACTAAATATTGCTTCTGTGTACCTGAAATCATTACAAATGATTCGTCATGAAATATGATTAAAATATTATGAAGTCTGAGTTTATCTCTAAAAAGTTTTGCCTTTAATCAAACATTGAAGCAGAATGAATCTTATCCAATCACAGCAATTTGCACACTAATATATATTCTACATATATCTTATATGTTATGAAGTACAAAAATTCATATAAATATCAGTGGTTGATATGGTTTTATTTGGTGGCCAAATCTTAGGTTAACCACTCTCATTAATTCATTAGTTGTCTTTTGATTTTCTGATACTAATACCTGTTTAGTGTTAGGTCTCAGGACAAAAGGCTAACTAAGGTGCTTATTAACAAATCAAAGGAGAAACTGGCTGCCAGCTTCTCCAAGCATCCCTCAGTCTCTACCTGTTACAGGGTCCTCCTGGCTGCCCTTCTCCCATATAAACATATTCTCCTATATTACATATTCTCTTCCACATATAACCCAGCCACTTGGCTACACCAGTCCTTTTGGCCTCTCAGCTGCCACTCCAGGCTCCCCTCTCTCCCCTCCCCTCTTTCCTCATGTGGCCCTGTTCAGTCTGCAGGTCATGTCCACACTGGACTCTCTCAGATGCCTCTGGCTGTGTTCTCCCTCATATCTACAATAAACCTTCTCCTCCTTCACACCTAGGAGCAGTCATGTCCTCATTTTATTTATTTATTTTTCATTCATTTAGTAGTCACAATTAATTTAACACCAACCTTACTTGCTTTTTCACAGTCAATGTTTCAGGTTCTGATTATGAAAATTATGAAAGATTATGAAAATCAACTACTGTTTGGGAAAGGTGTAGATGTTTTTAGGGAATCCATTCTTGTAACTAATCTTGTCTGCTTGCCCATGTAATATTAGACAGAGACAGGGACATGTCTTTCTTTTACCCAATTACTCATCCACTTGTGTTTTGGACACATCAAAAGCTAGATGGTGGATACTGGTGTAGTTCCTTGTGAGTAAGATTACAGCTCTGCAAGTTTGGAAACAACTCTGAAAAGAAACTCAAGGATGCAAATGTGGTTTTCTTGATCTCCAACCTAGGTTAAGTGCATCAAGATCAAAGGGAGTTTGTTTAAAGTCTAAATGTATAAGAAAACACAAGTAGGAGATTCTGCTGTCCCAATTAGTTATATTTGAAGTGTTTTCCTATGAACACCTTCACCCAAGAAAGCCTTTAACCTAGTTTGCAGTTCAATTACTCTGCATAATTACTCAGTTAATTTTAGAATTTAAACAAACCAGAGATGGTAATCAGCAAATTGAGTGGCTCCACGACTTGAATCTGGCGGAATGGTCTTCGCTTTATAAGTTTAATGATGTCTGCCTTTCCACTTCTGTCCATCAGGTACAGATTAGATCGGGTGCCCAGCAACAAATTGACTCCTGTTTAGATACAGAAAGTGCTGTATTAGCTGATTATTTCTATTAGTGTGTATTAATTCTATAGAAAGAGTTTTCACTGTGATGTTTTTATATTTATCTATCACATAATTTAATCAAAATCACTCTCATTACCCTTTCTTATTTTTCCTTCTCACTCTTTCTGGGTCCTCTTCCATTTCCCTAACAATCTCCACTCTATGCTTAGGACCTTAAGAAAAATGAAACTAGATTTTGCATATGAGGGGAAATGTGATTTTTGTCTTTACGCATTTGACTTATCTCAATATCCAGTTATAACCTATTTTCCTACAAATATGATTCTACTCTTTCTCATAGTTGAATAATAATACTGTACTACATATACGTGTATTCCACGTTTCTTTACTCTTTACTTACTGATTTTCTAACTAAATATATATGTATAAATAACTGCTTTGGTTATTCCAGTTTGCTAGTCTATATAAGATGACTTTTATAATTTCAGGCCAATATTAGCCTTCTTAATCTCATACTATTCAACTATGTATACTCCTAACAGAGTGTGTTACATTAAAATGTGTAAATAGATGTCCATACATACTAGCAATATTCTACTGCCTGCTGTCTATTGTGCTATCTGACATACAGAATATTATGTATACCATAGTGCTATATTTTAATTGTCACAAAGATTTCCAGAATGAATCAGTGTGGTGACATTGTATTTGTATACCCCAATAAAGTTTATCTGAGGATCAGAGGGAAAAACCAGCTACGATTGTAAACATAGAGGTCAGGCAATGGTAGCACATGCCTTTAATCCTATCATTTAGGAGGCAGAGTCTGTCTGAATCTCTGTGAGTTCAAGGCCACACTGGGAACAGAGCCAGGAGTGGTGGAACATGCCTTAAATTCCAACCCTAGTTAACCATAAAGGTCTGGAGGTCTGTACTGACGGACAGGAAGTGATGTAGCTGGGCAGAGAGAGGAAATGAGATGGCTGAACAGAAAGGCATATAGTGTGGATATACAGGAAGTAGGTCTCTTTGGAGGTTGAGGTGTTGGTGAGGTGAGGTTGTCTGTGGCTTGTCTTATTCTCTCTGATCTCTCAGTTTTTCACTCCAACATCTGGCTCCGGGTTTTTATTAATAAGACCGTTTAGCAATTCATGTACAAATCAGACCTTCTGATTAAGAGACTAAGCAAATTTAGTCTCTCTATATATACTTAATTTTGGTTCATTTTCTAGACATCAACTACATTTCTGGGTACTTGGAAGACTCAAGTGCTCATGCATTATTTATTGTCTGAGCCATTAAATTAGAAAATCATTGAGGATGACCATTTTCTTCTAAGGGCTCAGTCCCTATTAAACTTAAATTTCCTATTTCTTTGTATTTTTCTTTTAAAATCCATCTTCTGTTCAATCACACATAGGCAAAAATCTATGAAGCGTAAGTTAGAAGTTGATGTTTACTTTGGACCTTGGTTGTACTAAGTTATTTTATAGCAATGTACTATGCAGACTAGTTTGGGACAACGTATATATAATCTCAGCTCTATTGCTATGGTCATAATTTTCAGAAACAAAGAGTTGAAAAGTCTGTCAAATTTAGGATTTTATAGAGAGAACTTATGCATCCTCTATACTTAAAAATTGCAAGATCCTGCAGAAATCTTTCTTTTAATAAGTATGTACTAATATAGAAAACATTAAACTTAAATTGTCAAATGACCATAATGAAGCCTAATTTTGCATTTTCCTCCAGGTAACTCAAGTTAAAAAGCAAAAAGTGGAAGACATTAATTCAACAAGCCAGAGCAGCCCTGAAGCAATTCCTATCAATTCATTTGTAACCGACTGGTAATGGTAAAATATTTTACTTCTACAAGCTTCACGAGTTCTCTACATGAACATGGATCTAAAACAAAACCAAACTCAAACTTACCCCACAAAGAGCCACAGCAGATCTCAGATGAAAACTCCTTTTCATACACATGGATTAGTGGTTTGTTATATGCTAGGGAGACACAGAGTGGGTTAACATTTACTTCAGATGCTAGCTGAGGGGGTTTTTCAGGCACCTCAACAAATCCGGCATATACTACAAATGGAAAGGCATTAGGACAAATCACTGATCTATATACTAAATGTGCCAAGTATTTCCATAATGGAGATGGCCCTCAAAGTTTGGTTTCCTTATTGTATTTCATCTTTTATGTAAGTTTTAGTAAATTCTTAACTCATTAGAAAATGCAAATCGTGGTGGTTAAAATACATTGCTGAGTATGGATGTGATTTGTGGCTTTGATTATATTGCAAAACCAATAATTGAATAAAGGATTCCATTTCTTAATTGGGGGTCAAATCTAGTCATTGTAAAGATTCAGTGATAGCTGGGTGTGATAGCAAGGGCCTGTGATCCTAGGAAGATGAGGAAGTCAGTGTCAATAACAGTTACAGAAGGAGCTCAATGCTATCTGGGTTACATGAGACTCCCGAAAATGTAAGGAAAAAGAAAAGATTTCACTGAGGAGTAATTTAAAAAACTTATGTATGATTTGCTTATTTAAGCACATATGTTGTGGTTGGTTTTCTCCTTCTACCATGTGGGTCTAGGGGAATAAACTTGTTAGGCTTGATAGCAAATATTTTTACCTTACAACTCATCTTGCCAGCCTGAGGAATAATTTTTTTAAAGGCATTCATCAATCTCGTCTTATAGCAAATCAATATTCAAATTCTTTGATTTACCACACACCCTGAATTACTGTACGAGCATGTATAAGCATTCACCATGGGAAGATCATACCAGAAATACTTACAGGTGTCACTCGCAATGTCGGTATCAGAAGCAGAAGCAGATCCTCTGGAAGATGAGTGGATGATAGGAAAACCCACTGTTGCTGATGACTCTGATATATCATTCGGATTTTCACCATCAAGTGCGAGGGATGCGTTATCCAAGACAATTGAGTCTGAGGTCTCAGTTCCAACATCTGATTCCTGTAAGGAGACCAAAGGCCATTTTAATCTATTTGGTTAATATCAGGAAAATATGCTATGGGTGACTTGAAAATTTGAATGCAAAATCTGTAATATATTCATCCTTAAAACTCCATATTTACTAAAACATATTCAGCAGTGTCATCAGAGAAGTAAGCTATTTTTGGGATAATGTGAAGGGAGAATTAGAAGGAGCATTAAGTTGCCAAATGTACAATTTCAGATCTAATATTTGTGGAAATCTACCAGGTTCTATGCTAGTACCCCTATTTATCCATCTCCATGAACATTTACCACAACATAAAAAAAATACATTGTCTCTGATTCTGCTATAAGGAAAAAAACCTTAGAGAAATTAAAAGTTTTCTGGATCAGAGAGCTGGTATGTAGGGGATCTAAAGTTTGAAAGGAATCTAATCCCAAAATGTATATGCCAAATAACCACTTTGAAAAAAAGAGCACACCATGAGGATATCTCATCCACTAATTTAAGATGTCTACAGAGCTGGGTCTGGAGGCACATGCATATATTCCTGGCATGTGCAAGGCTGTTGTCATGAGTCTTAGGCCAGCCTGGGCTACCTAATAAGTTCCAGACTAACATGGGCCTACAGAGCTAGATCCTGGTCCTAAAACTGTAAAAAATTAAAACAAAACAATACAAAACAAAAAAATGAGAACACAACACAACAAAACAAAAAAGATGGCTTAAGAGAACTGATAGTAAGAAGAACCATGAGAGGATTGTGGTTCAAATGATCAAACAAAAGATATTAAAAAAACCCAACTTATAACAATCCTAGAGTAAACATAGTTCATGCTTCCATTGATGGAGTAGACACTCAAGGATAAAAGCCTCCAAGCGTTATGAATCTATATTCAATATGTGAAAAAATTAGCAACTCTCTGTTGAGGTTATTGAAGGTCAGGGGAAGAATTAGGAGTTAATTATTTGTGAAGATTAAAATCTACCAGCCTAGATGTCTAATTGATTAATTGGAAAACAAAAATGTGGTATGTACTCATACACAATGGGATTTTATTCAGCCACAAAAAAATGAAGTCATGAAAATTTCAAAATAATGGATGGGTGTGGAAATTATTATATTAAGGGTTATAATTCTACTCAGAGGAAAACATACTTCCAGTTCTTTATGATAGACACACAGATGCTAGATTGTATTGTGTGTGTGTGTGTGTGTGTGTGTGTAGTATAGATGTGTGTGTATGTAGTATAGAACCAGAAGAGATCATCGGTGAGAGGGACAGAGATTTTAAGGAAGAGTAATGGGGAAAATGGGTCAATAGAATACATGCGACCTAAGAGTTGAATGGAGGGAAAATGTATAGTTGAGGGGGAATGAAAGGAAGAGAAGGACCAACAAAAACTAAGTATTAGGGAAATGCCATATTGAAATCCATCACTTTATGTGCTACAAAATATTAATAAATAGTTAATGCTAATGGCTGCACACTATTGTATGTGTCTAAAATGTTATCAATTTGAATACTTGGAAAGTTTCAATATGTGTATTCTACAGCTATGAATAATATTACCAGTACCTTGAAATATTTCCCCAAGTGTATGATCTAACTTAAAATGACAAAATAAGTGTTTTTTGTTCTTGAAAGTATATAGGAACCATCAAATTGTATGTAATGAAGATCCCATGCATTTATAACTTAATTGTATTATTTTAGTTATTTCAGGATTTGGGATACAAGAATATAACCAATGTCGAAGAGCTGCAATGTTACATAACATGTGCTGATATACTTTTAAAAGAGAAGTACATTCTTGCTTTCAAATCTCCTTTTTTTTTTCAAATCTTCATTACCTCCCGTACATGTTCAAAATCCTGAAATATATGTTGATCCAGTCCTGCACCATCATTCTGTGAGTGAATTTCTTCATCGAATCCAAATGCTCCATGCTCTTCACTGCTTCCATTGGCTCCTCTGTATCTGTTCCCTCCATTGGCTCCATGTCCATCCTGGTTTCTAAAGGCTGCACTCGCTCCCCCAGCAGAGTTGCCACGGTAACCTTTGGCTCCATTGTTTCTATAGGGTCTGAAAGCCCCCTGCTGTACATTACCTCCACCACTGTTCTTCAATATTCCCCCTCTGCGATAGCTTGCTCTGTTACAAGGACATATTAATGAAAGAAGGCCATTCAATAAAAACACAAATCAAAGCTAGAAAATGAAAGAGAAATCAAATTTTACACACACACACACACACACACACACACACACACACACACACACACACACTCACATTATGCTCAGGAATGTTTTTGCTATATGATGTGAATGCTTTGGTCTTATATACACACACTTGAAAGATTCCTCAATTCCTTGCCAATATTAAATACTGAATTAACATGATAGCCACTGTCAATTCTTTGTCATCATTGTGGTGACAGAGAAAAATGAACTGCACTTTGTTATTAGGTATACGTGACTGTAATACTCATTTTCTTAAATAATTGAATAGTTTATCAATAACTTACCATCTTCTTAGTGATCACAGTGATATTAGAATATTTTTCTGCATTCTAGACTATGTTAATTTTAACATATGCTTTCACTTATTTACATATATACCAAGAGCTCTGCTATGGACCCTGGTCAATACTCTCACCAGAAAGTTCAAGTTAGAGGATGAGTAAGATAATCACATAATCAGGGGTTATAAATGTTAAGTCTTTTAAATGCCCAATGTACTTCATTTTGCATGGAAGACAATATTAAACATATTTACCTATGGTGATTATAAAAAGAAAATCTGCATGAAAATGGAATTCTTTTTAGATTTTATATCTGGGGAAAATATACAAAAGGACTTTTGGTAACTTCACCAATTAAATGAATAAAGACCATCCTAAATTGTTCAGATACATGACAAAATCTCAACTCTCTGGGAAATGTTTACCAATTCTTTCAAATAGTAGTAGAACACTTCATTTTTTACCCCATTTCTCATTGTGATTTTATGGGGAGGGAGATTTAGTGGCATTAATTTAAAGAGAAACACTGAGATAATCCCAGTTATCAAGAAACTAATAAATAATTGAATTTAAATTGTATATAAATAGTCTAGTTACATGTTCTACACCAGAAAAATTTAAAATACAATACCGAACACTTACCAATATGTAAGTACAATTAATTAATTATCTTAATGTTATGTTACATTTAAAAATAAATCAAATATGCCAATACTTCTGAACTTGCATCTACGGTATAATAACAGAGACAAACGAACCTTGGCCCATTGGTAGCAGCATCAAGATTATCATCTATGTCACGAGCAGACCCAGCATCATAGCCAGCACCACGGGCTTTACAGACATTTGCCTGATCAACCTGGTTATTCAAGTCATCATGGCCATTGAAATGGTCATAGGTATCTTCATAAGCATCATTAGAAGCTTCCTCATCACCATCAGTATTAGCACCAGCATCATAGAGTTCAACATAATCACCATCTTCTTCAGGTGGCTGAACGACAGGTGCAGGAATTAACCAATCATCCCAGAAGATTTCAGAGTGTGCATTACAGCCTACCCATTCATTTGTCAAGTATACAGGGGGTGATATTTTCCCCACTTTAAATCCATCTGGAACCTGTGTGCACAAGAAAGGTTAAGGTAGTCTCTAATAGCTTCTCATTTTCTTTAGATATTGGAAGTTTCCAAAATGACAACATTTTAAAACATGTTAAAATTATATTCTTTACTGAAACAAAGATGTCCACCCAATACATAGAGCAAATATTTTAGTGAAGATGAGTTGCGCAAATCCAAACATTAGTAATTAGTAGTGGACTTTGTAGATCACACAGCAAATTTACTCACTGTTTATTAACCCCATTGCCTGCTGAGGAGTAGACATTTGCTTTTGATGCTGGACAGTATGCTCTACACAAAATCTGTTTTTTTCCTTTGGTTTATCCTAACACTGAGATTAAAGTATCACTCTTGAAATAGATAGGTTATTTTCCCAGTTTTGTCTATATATGCCATATAGTATCTTAAATTATTTCTAATGCCTCCAAAAAGCTAATGAATACAAGTGTAATTCTTATGTTAGGAATAAACATGTATGTGATAGAGTATTATGAAAATAAAACAATATGATCTGAAAGCACACTGAAAAAGTTTAGGGAGGCCTTTTACTTATACAATCAGAAGACACAATTTTTACACTAATATTTTGATTCATTACCTAAGGAACACTATTAAACAACAGTCAAAAATGTAACTTATACCTCTTGGTCATAGCTTAGTTTCTGGAAGTATGTTTGTCAATCTTCTTTCCTATATATTCTATCTCTATTTTGTGTGGTACTGAGATTGAACCTAGAGACTTGAGTATGCTAGGCAAGCATTCTACCACCAGACTATATCCTCAGCACCTCTCATCAACACATTCTAACAAAAATGTGAAAATATAATATTGTTTAATCAGATAAGTGCTTTTTCCCATTTCAATTTTAAATTCAAAATTTTATATTCTGAGTACTTGCCCACAATGTGATCTTTAAAAATAAAGATTATGAGACACATTTAAACTCTTTTACTTTTCCATTTAAAAATATTTTATGTGTATAAGTGTTTGTCTGTATGCATATATGTGCACCTTGTGCGTGCCTGCTGTATGCAAAGGCCAGAATAGGGTGTTAAATCTTCTGGAACTGGAATTGCAGATACTTTGAGTCACCATATTTATTCTGGAATACAAACCCTAATCTTCTGAAAAAAAGTGCTGAGTTGAGCCTTTTGTCCATGCCTAACCTCCATGTTTTAAGGTCAGAAAGAATAGGCCAAACCAAACTGATACTAAAAATAGGTATAAATGCATTATGAGATAAACCTACATGGATATCAATCAGTAACTTCTGATCAATAGTAGAATAAGGCGGCGATGACTGGGACTTCCTCCTAGTCACAGGACTCTCCTCCTCAGAAGATGACTCTATGGAGTGCCAAAAAATACATTAGTAACAACAGCGATTTCACAACTGCTTCAGTGTGTAGTGGATCAATTCAACACATCACTGTTTTTCTTTAAGCCTTTGTCATTCTGTTATGGAAATATCACCTCATATTAAAACCTACTGTGGCTGTTATTCTGACTTCTGCTTTCAAGGGTACTAGCAGGCTCAGGTTTTGTTCACGCTATAGACTTACAAGGCATTTCGTCTTCAATATTTAGTGTACATTTGATAAATCTATTAACCTTCCCAGTTTTAACCAAGTTATGACTTCCCAAATATTTTTTTTTTTGAGACAGGGTTTCTCTTTAGCTTTGTGCCTTTCCTGGAACTCACTTTGTAGCCCAGGCTGGCCTTGAACTCACAGAGATCCACCTGCCTCTGCCTCCTAAGTGCTGGGATTAAAGGTGTGCGCCACCACCACCTGGCCTCCAAATATTTCAATAAAGATGAAGAGTGAGATAATGAAAATTATAAAACTTAACTATGTACCACACATAATTTGTGAAACAACTTTCTCTGGTGTTGGAAACATTCTGTGACTGTCTGGCTAATGGACATTTGAGAGTACTGAATATTAACCACTGGATCACCAGGGGAGATACTGAGCATCTGAAACGTAGCCAGTGCACCTAAAAATAGGATGTTCAAATGTTTATTTCAGTTTGGTTTAGTTTTCATTTTTATAATGACACGTTGTGTGGCTATTTACTGTCACATTGGACAGCACAATTCCATTATGATAATATTTCTATTTAAAATACAAGTTCTTCCAGTTTGTCAATATAGGTTTTGAAAAATGTGATGAGGTAAATAATATGTTGCATTAAAAATCCAGTGAGAATATTTAATAGGCTCAGAAATCAGTGGCATCTAGGTGAACATATTTATTATAAAAAGGTTTCCCAAAGGAATACTGGATCCATGCTTATTTCTAGGGATATTAACTATAAATATTACTGCCCTTCCTTTATCTGCAAACTAACTATATATAAGTCAAAGTCTAAACACTATAAATTAAAACCCATGCATTTGTAATGCTGCTATCTTTTTAGAATGTTATACACCATATCTTAGATTGTGCAGTTTTGCTGTTTATTATTTTTTCAGGAAGTAATTCTTTCAAGTCTTTTAGAGCAGAAGGAGACTGACTGTAAAGGTGGAGTGTCTAATGATTTCTCTGGCACATTGACAGTGAGGTGATTTCATCTCTGAGGAAGCCTAATCTGCTGGGAATCTCAGATGCTCAGTGTCATGCACACAACAGAGTCTCAGCCCTGAAAGGTTTAGCTCTTATTTGCAGACATAGTACTGCTTCTTTCTCCTATGTTGATGGATTATTTTATTTCAGAAAGGCAAGTGAATGAACTTTAAAAGTGATGTGTTTGCCATAGATTAGCAAATTTATACCTGGCCAAACTAGAAGGAAAACATTCCTAGTATTTTGCCTTATGTTTTCAGAACATCTTTTTATGTGAGAACACAGTATGAAAAGAACTCTTTAATCATATTACTCTCGTAAGCTGGAATAGGGTTTTAAAATTCAGAAATTTGAATATTTGGTATTCTATATCCCTTATGATATAAACATTTAGCAAGAATCTGAATCTGTATGCTGCAATTTTTATAAATAATGTGAAAGCTTGGTCAGAAAATGCCCTGTAATTAAACTAATCTTGCATGCTTAAAACTGGAAAATGTCAGATTTTTATGACCTAATGTACAATTTTTGATTTCTCATGTCTAAAAATGTATATTAAATTTCAAGTCTATTAAATGCACTTCATCAATGAAATATTTGATTGAAATTGATACCAAAATTTGAGAAGCACTCTTGGTATTACTTGATCAATTAATTTTTCATGTATTTTGAATAAAGCCATCACTTTGTAGCATGTAAGCAATATTTATGTGATATTGTCTATCATATTTTGGAGAGGTAAAATAAAATGACAAGTAAAGCTTATTCTCACAATTATTCTATCATATTATAAATGTAGCCTAATAAATTTTGGCTAGTTGAATAGTCTTTCAAGTTCTTTAACATATTATCTCATGTATAGGAACTAAATGAAATGATCACTTTCCATTTCTCAGAGGTCACCACTAACCACTCAAATACTGAATCAAACCAACTGCTTGTCTTAATACTGCTTGGTCTCCTTAATATTTTTCATTCATGCTTTCTGGAAATTCTTCTTTACTTTTGAAACATAAGCTGCTAAATATTAGGCCTATGTATTTAACTCTGAGTTCTGAATCACCTGATGCTGCTTGGTAATTCTGAGGATATAGGGAACTCCTCTGTCTGACGTCCATGGGCTGCTGAACTTCTTCGAAAAGAGGATGCTGAGAGACACTAAAATGATGAATAGACAAAAGGTTTAATGAAGATGTGTTTATAATGATGATAAGCATATTATGATGTTTTACCTTCATCTTTTAAAAACAAAAGAAAGACAGGAAGGCATGTGCCACATTCTAAAATGCTCAAGAGTACATTCAACTCAACACAGAAGGATTTTCTTAAAATTATATATCACACTGAAAAAAGGTGGAGCTCGGATATTATATTCAAATTGTAATTTCTGAAACCTTGTTTATCTATGATAGAGAAACAGTTTCCATGTGTGGAAACAAATAAAAGAAAGCACATTTCAATATAGTATACATTTTTTCACATAGAATATACTTTTTGTAAGTGTTCATAGCAATATTCAGATAAAAATACCAGATAACATCAGTAAAACAAAATCTTCTAGTGCATAATAGAGTTTATTTTTAAGATTTATTTATTTATTTATTACAGTGTTCTGCCTGTATGTGTCCCTGCAGGCCAGAAGAGGGCACCAAATCTCATTACAAATGGTTGTGAGCTGCCATGTGGGTACTGGGAATTGAACTCAGCACCTCTGGAAGAGCAGCCAGTGCTCTTAACCTCTGAGCCATCTCTCCAGTCTGCATAACAGTTTTAATATGGCAAATACAAACAGTTTTTTAATAACATATATTCCACTGTTAGCCTGTTTTTATTTTCCCATAATTCATGTTTTAAATACATTACTCCTGGTTGAATAGGTTTAAGTTTGGATACATAAACACATCCATTTTTACTATTAAATTCAAGTGCCAGTGTAGATATTTTATTTTATTTTTATTTTATTTGCTTTCAGTTTTCTATCTAGTAAGAATTTCCTTTGTTAATTAATTGTATAACAGACAAAAGATATTAGTATGGCCCATCACTTCAGAAAAAATTCAAGACTCATTTACAGTAATTTTATAAACTTATTTTTGTTTGTGAGTTCATTATAGTTTTATGCTTTTTATAAATTTAAACATACTTAAAGGAAACACATTTGTTAATATAAATTAATCCATTTGTAGACTTACCAATCACTCTCAAATTAACATTAAATTTAAGTTGTATATATGGAACTGTATTAAAATTATGATTGATGGCACTAACAATCTATTAAAAATAACCTCATTTTTTTCTCTTTGAGGTCAGAAGTATCATGGTAACTCAGGTTTTGAGTATAGAGAAAAAGAGTTCCCAATCTTACATTCTAATTTTTAAAAGTTTCTCCTTCAGGTTTCATGTGAAGATATAAAGTCAAAAGCTTTAAAAAATAATGTTGTATGGCTGTGCTTATTATATACAAATTCTCTGTTATCTGTCCATACTGTGCAGTATCTTTAATTTTAATTTCATTTCATTTGTATTTTTTCTTGAATATTTTACTGTATTATATGGTGAGTATATAATTAATAAAATCCAAATTAATTTACTTAGGGGCAAAATTGTTTGGAACACTGATTATGTCATACTTTTTTCAGTGTTGTGTGTGCACACACACACACCTAGAAGTACAAACGTGTCATGTTACATATGTGGAAATCCTAAGGACAACTTGTGGAAGCTGGTTCTCTCCTTTGACTGTGTGGGTTGTGGGAACTGAACTCAGGCCATTAAGCTTGATACAATGCGCCTTTACTCACCAAGCCACCTCACTGGCCCTGTCTAAAATCTTTAATATAAGGAATGTTCAATAAATATTTACTGAATGACTGACTGAATGAACCTAGGCTAAGGTCTCTTCATGTGAGTTTGGTTCATTTTAAAAATTGTCTTTCACACATAATGCGTTGCACAGAACACCTGACTTATGGACCCTAATCTTTGAAAATTACTGAATTCAACAATACTACAAAGATTAAAACCACAATGAACAGTTTCTATGTTGCACATTTCATCTTATTTATGGGACAATGATTCACATATTTGATTTTGACCTCAGAACATTTTCAGGCTTTCTGGTTCTGTGTCATTAGCTTCTGAATATATGGATAATTTGTTTCAATATGTTGTACACATAAGAAAACTTACCTGGCATTTATTAAATCCTACTGCTAAATGAATAGTATCAAATACATTGTTGTGATTACTTCTCTTACTATATTTTCAAAATTGTTAGGTAATTATTGAATTGAGTCACATGGACTAGACTATGGAAGCTGTTACTGGAAGATATTCTTATTGGATCACTGCAGTTAGGTTTTTAAATGTAAGCCAATTTTAGCAAATTGTCATGATGTGAGTGACAATTTAGTTTTGACTTCACATGGAAATTAATTTCAAAGAAACCAAGTTTGGTTTGTTACCTCACAGTTACCACAAGTAATTTAAAAACAGAAACACATACCTTGAAGAAAATTTCACACGGTGTGTACGATTCCGGTTGCAAGGAATAGAAGCAGATCTCTCTTGGACCTTAGAGATGCAACACAATCAATAGTTTAATGAAGTTCTTGACCATAAATTCTTTTGTGTTATTAATTTATTAGGAAATTAATTTCTTCACATATATTTCCCCAAATTCTAACTTAAAAACACAATTTTTTAAACAGAATTTTTTTTATAACTATAACCTTAGAATTTATTGACCAAAATTTCTGTTTTCTTTGAACATTAGCATAGGTGCAGACTCTGGAAATAATGTAATCAAAACTTTTCATTTTAGCTGGGCGGTGGTGGTATACACCTTTAATGCCAGCACTCGGGAGGCAGAGGCAGGCAGATCTCTGTGAGTCTGAGGCCAACCTGGGCTACAGAGTGAGTTCCAAGACAGGCTCCAAAGCTACACAGAGAAACCCTGTCTCAAAACAATACAAAACAAAACAAAACAAAAAAACCTTTTCATTTTATTGTTGAGTCATCATTAGCCTAGAAAAAGATAATGACGTTTCTAAAAATTTACAAGTCAAAATAAAAATCTAAAACCAGTTTACTTTTCAACCAAAAATTAAGAATTTAAGTTCAAACTCATGCCTGACTAAATTAACTCTAAATTTTCACACATAAAATTCATTATAGTTTCTTTGAGAAAGTATGTCATAATAAGTGTTCCAAATACCTTTTGCCTCTAAGTAAATTATTTTGTTTTTTTTTTATAACCATACACTTATTTACTATAATAAAATACTCAAGAAAGAGCGCATACAATGTTGGCTTACATCAATGGAGTAGATTTACTTTCTGTGAACAATAGTAGGCAGATCCATAGTCTGTTGCCTTGTCTCATTTAGGTTTAAATCACTAAGTTTTTACTCCCAGTAATTTTCTGCTATGCCCCCCAATAGGCCATTCTATCATGCAATAAAAAAGTTACTGGACTCTTTAGAGAGGAAATTGCATCATGTTTCACTTAACAAAAACTAGCATATTGTTAAAAAAATTCCTTTAATTTTTAGAACTGTACTTAGCCTTCATACATTAGTGTGCCCTATGAAGTGATTTATCAAAGTTGTCCTTGTACTTCAACCGATAGATTGGTGAGAAATCAAAAACACTGTCAGTATTTAATGTTTGGTTAACAAGCAATTCCAAATGTAACCAGATGTTTTGCAGCATGCATGATTAACATCTTGCTTAATAACTTTTTCTTATTTCAGTTTAGACAATTGGTATTATCCTGATCAACTCTATGTCTTTCATGAAGTTGATCTCAGGAACTTTCTATTTTTATTCAAATATTTTTATTTTTATTCTATACTGGATCTCCCTATGTTTTCTAAGCTGTCCTAAAATTTCAAGCTCAAATGATCCTCCTGACTCTGCCTCTCTCATAGCTGAGACTACAGATACGTAATGTCACCACAGCAGTGTCAAGAAACTAAGTGACACTTATTAAATGAATGTCAAAAATCACTAAATGTGTGTAATAGTAAAAAATGAAAAGACAAGGCTTAATATGACTTGACTGACGTTCTTTGTTATTAAAAATGGGAGACAGAAAATAACTAGTGTGAATTGCATATATTAAGACAAAACATGTTCCAAACCAAACAATGCTCTGTGTCAATGTCTTGCTCTGTGTCAATAACTACCATCTGGGAATACAAGCAAAGCCATGTGTTAAGGCAGCACAAACTGACACAATCCCGCTTATCTTCCTTCTGTAAATATTTAGTATTTATAAAACAATAAATCTTGCCAGGCGGTGGTGTTGCACGCCTTTAATCCCAGCACTTGGGAGGCAGAGGCAGGCAGATCTCTGTGAGTTCGAGGCCGGCCTGGTCTATAAAGCGAGTCCCAGGAAAGGCACCAAAGCTATGCAGAGAAACCCTGTCTCGAAAAACCAACCAATCAACCAAGCAACCAAACAAACAAACAAAAAAAACCTCCCCCAATAATCTTAACAAGTCAATCAAGACTTAGTAATTAAGAAACTATACTTCAAAAGTCTTGACAAATTTCATAGTGGACTCCTATGAAAGATCTGTGCTGATCATTAACAATGTGACTCCTAAACTACTGTCACCAGAGGAATGTAAGTATTATTTATTTATTTATTCATATACTAAATAATCTCAGTGACCAAAAATAATTTGGGATGTTGGCTGTTAGGAATGCAAGTCATGATAATGCTATCTGATCTAAATAATAAGTAAACTCACATCCTCAGTCTCACAAATATGTGTTATGAATACTGTATTATTTGATGTGGTCATCAAAACAGAAGTCACCCTGACATGTAATCATTTAATTTTTCGTGTGTGAGAAAATGAATCATAGATTAGCTGACCCAGATTTGTAGCTAATAATGCACCAAGAACAGACACTATCAAGATAAAGGATGACATGTGGTTATCTTACACTTTGAACTACTCACATTTTGATATGAAATAATTGTATTTTTAAAAAACGCTGAAAAGAATTCTTACTTGAACTATGTGCATATGCTAGATATTTTAAATGAAATAAGTTTGCAAACTTAAGAAAAATCAAAGTGATGCCATTTGCCAGCAATGATAAAAACATGAGCTTTTAAGGTAAAATTGTAAATTAGTATCTGTTACTGAGTACTTGACAGCTTATGAATACTCAATTACATTTCGGGTAAAATTGGTAGTGCTGTTTTGATATTGTGAAATGGAATGTAAACATTTGGGAGAATCTGTGAACTAATATTTTCCACTTGATGAATACATGAATTTAGAAATCGTGTATAAGTGAAATATCTATTCATAGTACAAGATATTGCAATGGATTTTAATATACAAATTAATTACATTAATACAAATTAATTAGTTATACAAAATTTTATGAATATGATTTTAGATTCCATTTGTCTAGTTTGGGCATGTTACCAAAGAATATGCACAAGTATCTGAAGGAAAATCTACAACAGTCACAATAATTTGACAATTTTATACAAAATTCCCCTTTCTAGCAATCTATAAGTAACAAGCCAGCTCTTACACATATATTTCAAGCAAAACACCATATGGCCACAGATTGAATTATGAAGTAGATATGAATATCCAGCTGTTTTCTATTAAGCAAGGCAGATTAAAAGGATCTGAAAATATGAGACAATGACACCCCTATAATAATATTTTGGGCAAGATAAATATTTTTCATTTATATTTATTTACCATGTTAAATGTATTTGTACCTTTTTATTTTTATTTTAATTTTCAGTAAGTTAGGTAGTTAATGACATAATGAAAAAGCTTTATAGAATTCTCAATATTTAAGATTATAAAGTGATCCTAAGAGCATTAAGTTTAAGAGGCACTTTTCTAGGTACTTATTAATGTCATAACATCTCATATTGAGAAATTTACCTCATTTCCTGTAGGATTTGGAACGTATGGTTCTATTTGGACTTCAGCCTGAATTGAATGAAACACTTCATCATTGTCTGATGAGTCATCTTCTTTATCCTTTGAAACAAAAATCATATAAATATTTAAATGTCTGTGAGAGTGCAAGTGATAGGAATAACAGAATCATCATCTTAATTCGTGATGAATAATTTCCAAATAAAATTATTTAAACACGTAGTTTCTAACAGTTTTTGGTTAAGGATCCCCTTTCAAGCTGAGGAAGGGTACCGAATGCTCACGAAAAACTGCATATAGTCACACACATTTGCATAGATTTGCAGGCCAGCTGTTGGGTTCCTGAAGCTTATCTACAGGTTCTCAATTAGGAATCCGATTTACCACTTGATTAGCACATAATCACAACCTGACTTTCACATTTGGGGAGTTGTTATAACTCTAACATTTGGTCCTGAGTAGAGGAAGATCTGTGATCCAGAGGTGCAAATAGTCCTCCTTAAATTAAGCTCTCAGAGTTAAGAAATTGTTCAATCAAATGAATCAACCACCATTATCTAGTCCAATTATAAGAAAAAATGTATTCATTTTTCCTTACTAGTATGGCAAAGCACTCAGACATGTCTCCAAATTCTAATTAAATTTCATATATTTCATATTCATGTATTTCAAAAGAACTATATCTTTAGTATGAAGAATTTTATTTCTTTTAAGTTATTTTTAATAATACATATAAAGATATGAATGCCTATGTAAGAATCCAGGCTCAGGATGATAACAATTGTTCACTGACTTATTTACATTTTGAAATAGCTTCTCATACATACATACATACATACATACACACAATATATATATCCAAAACAATGACAGTACCTAAGATCTCTTCTGCTAATATTAAGCATATTTCCAGGATAAATACAAGTCTTGTTCACTGATGAAAATCCCATTAGCTCTAATTGGTTAAGAGAGCTCATTGAGAACAGTCATTAGCTGTTAGATGCCTTAATTCATGCTACATACTACCATTTCAGACTCATGACTCCTCGTCTGCATATGATTTCTATCTCTTTATATTCTGGAAGTGATGCATCCATTTCTCCTTTTGAGTCATTCTTTTTCTGGTTTTTAAAATCTTGTCTCATGTAAATGTGCCAGGGAATTATCAATTGTTTAATTGATTTAATGTGCACACACCTAAATAATTACTTATCTAGATACTCAGGCAAGATTCATTTGTAATCACTACATGAGTTATTATTTAAGTGGATGTGGTTAACTGTTTAATCATCATATAATAATTCCTTTTATACAAATAATAGTAAAAAATTATTAGAAAACAACTATTCTCCTGTTTTCTGACCTTATTAATTTGCTTATTAAACCTATACATTATTCAATATCAGATTAATATTGCCAGATAAAATTCAACAAAGCCTGTCAAATTTTATTCACCTACATATGGGAGTTTTGAAGTAGTGAAGTTTTATTGACTGATCCTAAATGAGAAGTTAAGTTCTACTTGTTTTCTGGTCTGTGCAGTCACATCATTGAATAATTGCATAAAAGCATGGGTGCATTAAGAAGACAAGTAATAAATATGACAACTACTACTACAGAGCATTGTGGATATTAGTTTTGTTCTAATTTTTAAAAAGATTTATTTATTTTTATTTTAATTTATTTGTATATGTATTTTTGCCAACATGTATGGGCATAGTGTTTGTGGAGACCAGAAGGTAGTATCAGATTTTCTCTGAAACTGAAGTTATCGATCACTGTGAGATGCCATGTGGTACTGGGAACTGAACCTGAGTCCTCTGAATGAGCAAGTGCTCTTAATCTCTGAGTCATCTCTCTAGTCCTGACTTTTTGTTTTTATTTATCTCAATTTAAATGTCTCAAAGTACAAATAATTGTAATTCACACATGTAGTGCAATCCAGCATTCAATGTCAAGAAATAACAAAAAAGCAACTTCAAATGAAAAGAAAAAATATTTTCATTTATGTGTATGTGCCTACTTTAATTCATTTGCACCACATGTGTGCAGAAGCTCATGGAAGACAGAAGGTTTCAGGCAGTTATGAGTTGCCATGTGGGGTTCTGGGAATTGAACTTATATCCTCTGCAGGAGCAGTAAATTCTCTTGTCTGAGGAGCTGTATCTCTAGTCCCAGAAAGTTACATATTGAGGAATAAAAATGGAGGCAACTTTGGAATTTTAAATTAGGAATGTTTCAAGAGTCAAAATAATTATTTTAAGTGTTTGTATGCTGTCCCTTTACTGGTTCAAGGAGTAATTGGTAAAACAAAACAAACCCCTAATAATTAAGGCAAAACTCCTATAGAGATACATTAAACCACTACACGTATTATTAAAGCAATTTTTCCTCTTTTGATCACAATTATCTGGAGATTTCAGACTGATTCATTTGAAGTGAAAATTAGTAAATCTTTGTTAGAACATGGAGTATTTATTTCATTGTGCTTCATGGAGGAAAATTGTAGGCATTAACCGGCACATTTTCTTAATAGTTTTCACTCAGGAAAAATATCAAAATCTCTTACATTTTCAACCTGTCTCAATTCCTCTTCATGCTGATTAAAGATGTCCTCCCATCTACGCTGGCGCCGTCTCCTGCTGGCTTCTACATCTGAAAGTTCAAATTCCTCAATTCTCCACAAGGACTTTGCCCTGAACCTCTTGGGTGATAATCTTTTCACCAGTGCTTGCTTTAGACTAGCAACTTTTGACTTTTTCTTCCGTGTCTGTTCTGGTTGAGTGTAAAACGCATCTGATGACAAATTTTCCAGCAAGATTTGCAGTGGACCAAGTGGTTTTGAGATCAATGCATTTGGTGCTTGAAGTAAGTCCCTTGATAGTCCCTCTATCAGTGCTTGAACTGCACCAATAGCCTGTGAGGCCTCTAGAGCCCAGGCCTGTGCCTGAGGTGACTCTTCATTTTGTTCCCCTACTGGAATTAGCAGCTGTGTGTCCAAGTGAAGAGGCAAGAGCACATGATGGTTCTGTGACAATAAAGGCAGGAACACCTGGGCATGTACTTGTAGTACCTCAGGTTCCTTATCCTCAATCTCAGCTTGTGGAGGCTCAGCAGCCTGTTCTTGCACCTCTGGCTGCTCAGGTGCCCTATTCTGCTCCGGATTCTGCTCCGGAACTGGATTCTGCCTCTGCTGTTGTTCAGCAGCCTGGCCCTGCCTCTGCTCTTCAGGTGCTCTATCTTGCCCCGGAAATTCTTCTGGCACCTGGTCCAAATCTTTAAGCTGTCCAGCTTCTAAGGCCTCAGACTGGGCCTGCTGTTCGTTGGGTACGGGAGCCTGCATCTCTGGAGAATCAGGTTCTTTATCCTCAGTAGGGAGTGGCATGAGCACCCGGGCTGCTTTCTTTAGGCGGGGAGGTGCTTGAATCTGCTTGAATAGAGGTGTAGATGCCTTAGCTTTAACCTGAGCCTGTAATGGCCTGAACACCCGAGCTGCCACATGTAGGAGGCGCTGTGGTGCCTGAGCCTGCTTCTTCTGTAAAGGCTTGGGTGTACTGTCCTCAGCAGGGAGAGGCAGGACCCCCCTGGCTGCCCCTTGCAGTTGCTGAAGTGCTTGGAATTGTGGCTCTTCTTCATCAGGTAACCACCGTGGCTGAAGGGGTTCTCCATGCGGGACTCTAAGCGGTCTGCATCTGCTGCTACTTGGCACTCTCAGGAGTTCATGAGTGCAAGAAGGTCCTCTAAAATAAACACACAGATGACTGTCATGTAAAAAGAGAGTTCAGTGGAACGAGGTCATGCATGAGAATTGATTTAACTTTTAAAAGATAGAGCCCCCCCTCCACAAAGATAACAAATAATTCCTGCAATGTCTAAAATAGTCTCTAGGTAATATGTGTAACGCTAACGGATTAAATCCTTAATGTAGGTTGGTATTGCACATGATCATTCTATTGATATGTATGAAGTCATTTTGGAATAGTAACAAAAAGTCTCTAATATTTTCATACAATGTCTCATAGAAACAGAAGTATACTGGTTTTGTTGTTTGTTTGTTTTATACCAGAAAAGATTAAGTTGTCTTGAGCAGAAGGCAATAGCATTAAACCTATTTTCTTAGGTAACATGCTGCTATCTAAATTATATATTCAGTTTTCCCAACACACCTGAATCTCCTTGTGGCGTACTGTTCCTCAACAGCTGCTTCTCTTTCGAAGACCAGAGGTATGTCTTACAATGAAAAAGAGAAAGGAATGCATAAACAGTGTGTGAGTCTCCTTAGTCTCTTAGCAGCTTCTAAGGCTCAGGTTGTAGAGTGCATTCATACAGGTAAGAAAGACAGTAACAAATAAGACAGCTCTTCAAACATACTTCGCTGGTGGTGTCAACTCTCAAGCTATACTTTTGAAACACAGTAGAGATACCTCAGGCAGATTAGTTTCTCTGGACATAAGAAAGAAATTTTCTGGCAATCTGATTGCTGCAGTTCTAAAGAGATAAAAGGTAGAATAGAATAAAAGGGTGGGGAGGGACAAAAACAACTTTATGGTGTGGGTTTGATATGTAGAGCCTTGAACATTTGGGCTACCCCATATGGTCACTGATGGTCCCGAGTCTGCTCCAGAAGAGGCTTAATTGCGTGCGGGTCCCAAGCCTGTAGTGGCATAAACACCTTGGCTGTCCATGAAGTTGTTTAAGTGCTTTTCACTTAGGTAACCACCTTGACTGAGGGAGTTCCTCATGCAAGGCTCTAAGTAGTCTGCCTTTGCTTGTTTTATACTTAACATATAGCATTCATCTTTCCTATCAGCTGTGCTGTTACTACTGAAATGTGGAATCTTACAAATGGAAGAGTCTTTTTTTTTCAGTTTCCTGTTTTAAATTGTTTAGGACAGCTATAATTACATTTATGGAGTAATCTCCAAATAAATGGAACTTTCCTGTAGGTAATATTTTTTGAAATCTTGTAACCCTAGATTTTAGTAAATCATGGCTGATGTTCCTGTAGCAATTTGCGATGGCTGACCTGTATGATGCTGGTCCCAATAACTTCATTATCAGATGATCATAAAGTGCCCTGTAGTTCCCCATTTGGAAACAGGACACATAATTTTGTAGATGGGACAAGCAGTACTGCAGTCACTGCCACAGCTGATTAGAGATCTTAGCATGCTTTCTATCCTTTTCAAGTTCCCTCTTCTTCACTCCATAATTACTCTGGACCCTGTCTATAGTCCCTGAAATCAAATGCAGAAAATTCTAGAAAATACGAAATTGGAGCTTCCTGAATATTTTCTCGTACACTGAGTAAAATAATCTTGTCACTTTTGGCATCAGTAAGTGCAAGCTTACCTTTGTGTACATAAATTAGCTTCTTTAATTATATCTCAGAGTTTGTAATTAGTACATAAAATTAACTTCACATGATATATACAAATTATTTCAAAACTAAGTCATTAAATGTGCAATTATGAACACATTTATTTCCAAAGAGTTGATTAAATTGCTTTACTTAGAAGTTTACTTAAAATAATATAGCCACAATACAAATTCTATTTGAATCCGAGGCTTAAGTCTTGTAAATATGAATACTTGATAGGCATAATAGAAAAAGGTGAGTAACTTCATAGATAAATGCTCACAAAAGAGTAATCATGTGAATTAATGACACATAGCACTGAAAATATAAATGTCAAAAGGCTCTGTGTTTTTAACTTTCAGATTGTTTTTAAGTGTGTGTGTGTGTGTGTGTGTGTGTGTGTGTGTGTGTGTGTAAGTTCATGTGAGTGTGGGTACTTACAGACGCCAGATGTGTCAGATCTACTTGAGATGGAGTTGAAGTTGGTTTTGAGCCATCTGACATGGGTGCTGGGAAATGAACTAAGGACCTACCTCTTCCCTGCTGAACCATCTCTCCAGCCCCCATCAATTAAATTCTTAAACAAATATGAAACTAAAAACAACGAATTAAATCTTTTATCTGAATGATACAAAACTTTGCTGTCTCTACCTTTCTTCTGTCTCTTTTTAATGATTCCAGTAAGATGTTTTGTCAATGACTCCACAATGTGCCGTTCATTTTTAATATTCTCCACAAATGGGTGACGAAGCATATTTCCAGATGTAGGACGAAATAGGAAATTTTTTATCATGCACTTTTCCATGAAATTGTGGAACTTACGGGACCTGAAATCAATGAAGCATACAGATGAAAGACACTGTCACGTGCTGCACTGATCCTATCCTACTCCTGTGCTACTTTCAAGGTCAAATTGTCTGAAAGACATCTTTGATTTGTATTTGTCTTTCTATTAGCAAATATACAGTGTTGTAACAATATACATTATACAATGAGGCCCTTTAAACTCCAGACACAGAAGTCAAGTCAACAGACTTTTCCACTCTACAATAGAAATTTCAATGAATTTGGCATCATGTACATGGTAAAGCTCATGTAATAAGATGGCAATTGAAAGATTAATGTGGCATATGTTGTCAGGGAACATGGACTGGTCATATGCTGTAACAGGCATCCTCTGGAGTCAGAATGTTTTACTTCAAACAATTACTACCACAGAGGCTTCACTATGATTCCAAAAGTTAGGTATCACTAACCTGGACAAACTAAGCTTGTAAAATGGCACATGAAAAGCGATACAGTCCAAAAGTGTAAATCTATGTAAAAAGTTAAGTTCAGAAAAAGTGCCAACAATGAAATAACAATTCTCATCTCTTATTAATTTTTTTTTTTTTTTTTTTTTTTTGGTTTTTCGAGACAGGGTTTCTCTGTGTAGCTTTGCGCCTTTCCTGGAACTCACTTGGTAGACCAGGCTGGCCTCGAACTCACAGAGATCCGCCTGCCTCTGCCTCCCGAGTGCTGGGATTAAAGGCGTGCGCCACCACCGCCTGGCTATCTTATTAATATTTTTATTAAGCAAGAGTTTAGCTGGATTAACCAGCTTCATAGAACAGAATTCTCATGGTTGCCTGGGTTGCAGCAATGCAGAGGGAGTTTTTCAAGTCTGCGGATGTTTAATATAATGGGCTAACCAATAGGGATGCATATCTGAATTACTGACTGCATGTCTAGACACCATGAAAAATATCACTTACAGGTATCACTGCTTTGCCTCATTGCTACAGAAGCAGCTGAAAATGTCTATTAATAAAAAGATTGTAATATCCTCATCATGTATTATAGAGAATACTACTAATTTCTAGCTAATCATGTATATCTTGATGGAAACTGGCTATTTAGACATCCAAGTTAAGATACTGGAATACAGGACAAAAATGTTGAAACAAGAATGACCAAATTAATGAAAACTTTATTATAAAGTACTAAATCAATATATTTAAGAAATTCATGTTTACCATCCACTGGATTTGACTGTGGGAGCAGATTCCCGTAGAATAATGAAAAGGGCTTCCAGAGGCTGAAGATTACACAGAGCTGTTAAGGGAAACACATGAATTCAGAAAGAAAGTAAAGGGCAACTGCAGAGCCTACTGCTCATTCCATAGTCTCAGTGTTCACTCACATATCCTGTTAAATAGATGGTAAGAGATGAACAGTTATAAATAAATGTACAACAACTAAGAGGAAAATTTGTTTGAATAAAAACCTTACATTAAGTCAGTGTCTCCATTACCAGGTTTAACAAATCAATTAAAAACTAGCTATTAGAAAAATGGTCAATAATATTAAAACACTTTATACAATGTCCGGGAGAGTGCAAAACTAGGGAAATATATGGTCCAGATGGAAGTAAACTGGCCTGGTATACAGGAGGAATTTTTGTCCATATTCTGCTCACCATCAAGCAGAAGATTCACACTGTCACAAAAAAAGGGAGAGGCTTAGAAGCACATCTCTTCAACTTGTGGACTGTGGTGTTACGGTGTTTGAACACTACTATAAATCTTCCAGCCTCAGTGGAAAAGCCCCATGTGCTTAAGTCCCCACATATAACCTGAGAACTAAAAAACGTTCTGTTTTCTATTGGTAAAGCACCCTTTTCCTACTAAGTTTTTCCTCTTCGTTTTCTCTGTTTCTCTGGGAGAGCCTGATGTAAAGATCAAAGGATGATAATTTTCTTACCTAAATCTTGGAAGACACCATCTGATAATTGTGGTTTTGGGAAACTATCCCCTCTGAGATGATAATTATCATAACCTAGAAGATTGCTGCAGTTAAATTGACGAGTATCGTTTCCATGCAGAGTAAATACTCCAGGCAATAAAGGATAGTAGTGAAAGAGAAATTTTTGATAGCCTCCTATCTAGAGTTGCTCATGATTAAAGCAATTTTCATTGATTATCTATGCAGATGGCCTATCTCCTTGTGAGTTTAGAATCTCCTGGCCCTCACTCAACTTTCTAAAGAAGCTTGCCATTTTCAATCTCTATGCAAAACTCTTCTGCCCTCCTATGTGTTTGCTCTTTGGTCCCTTTTTGTTCTGTTACTTAAAATCTTAAAATAGAATTAATGCCAACTATCACATTCCGAATTTGAAGAGATGGATAGAAAGTAGATATCAAATGATAAGGTATAAGAAACATAAAATAATAAGATATATGTAATATATTTACATATGGTGATTTTTAACAAAAGCATTTGTTCATCATTGAAAACATGACCATTTATGGTTTGGTACATGATATGTCACATGTGTAGCCAAATAAAAGCTGACTGTCCCAAGTGTCAGCATCATTTTAGAGAGACAGATTTGTAAAATATACTTGCACAGTCTTTGAACTAGATCAACTATATCAAACATTTGTACTTACGAGGAGCCCCTTCAGCCATTTCAATTGCAGTGATTCCCACAGACCACACATCACTCTAAAAATGATAGCAAGAAAGCTACTATTAAAATGGGAAATTAGTATTAAGAATCTCAAAACCATTTTGGCTGGGATGGGATATCCATGTGAGCCATTTCATCAGTTTTCTATAATAAAGCTTGTTCTTCTTTTTTTTTTTTTTTTTTTTTTTTTGTTTTTTGAGACAGGGTTTCTCTGTGTAGTCTTGGCTGTCCTGGCACTCACTTTGGAGACCAGGCTGGCCTCGAACTCACAGAGATCCGCCTGCCTCTGCCTCCCGAGTGCTGGGATTAAAGGCATGTGCCACCACTTCCCTGCATAATAAAGCTCCTTTAGAGACTGAAGTTACAGAAAGGCTTTATCTGAGTTTGTGACCAGCCAGCACCTCACTGTACCATAGGTTCATAAGGAATGATATTCAGTGAAAGCCAAGTTCATCCTGGCTGCAGTTCTACTACTGCTGCACTTTAAAAATAAAAAGTAACTTTTTATAAAGAAGTCTTAATATGGAGAACCATAGCGTGTAATTCTGAGTAACTGATTTAATTATTATTATTTTTTTTGGTTTGGTTTTACGAGACATAGTTTCTCAGTGTAGTCCTGGCTGTCTGGCTGTCTTGGAACTAACTCTGTTGACCAGGCTAGCCTCAAACTTATGGAGATCTGCCTGCCTCTACTTCCTGAGTGCTGGGATTAAAGGTGTGTACTGTCCAGCAATTTAATTCTGTATATCTCAATTTTATTTATTGTAGAATGCTTTTTAATTGCATTTCATAGGATTGTTATACATGCACATGTACATATATATGGGTATATGCACATATAACATATATGTATATTTAATATACATGTAGATATATTTAATATTTTTAAACATTAATATACAAACAATGCTACATATAAACCATATTTGCTGATGTATTTTATATAAATCATTGGATACATATTTCATTAGCTCTTCGAATATAATCAATTCAACTTAGAGTCATTATGAAGCTCTTATAAATTATCTCTACCATTATCAACTGTACTTGGGTTTTCAAAGTATGAAAAGGGTGATGGTGAGATGGTTCAGTAGGTCAAGATATCTGCTGCCAAGCCTGCTAATTTGAGTTCAATCATCAGAATCCACATGTTGAAAGGAGAGAATTGACTTCTCCAAGTTTTCCTTTGAACTCTACACGTGTGCCTTTTCATGCACACAGCATGCAGGTGAATGAGCACAGATGCCATACTTAAATAAAATGGAGCTTTAGGAAAGGGTAAAGGGCACCATATTAGAGGCATACTGGCTGACCCTTAAAATAGTTGACTATCTGTGGAGCCTCAATTTATAGATACCTTAACTTTGCTTTTTAAGATATTGCAATCTTAAGTTTTCTTTTGATTATTTTGAGATTAAGTAATAAAAACAAGTTAAATTACTTGAAAGTCTGTAAAATTGATACAGATATAAGTCATGCAGTAAATAAGTTAAAGAGATTTATTTCAATAGTCTTCACAGCTCCCACTGTACTGCAGAAAGTGCAATAGGTTCTCAGTAAAATAGTTACTTTACAGAACAAGCAAAGGACATTGGAGGAAATGGCAGAGATGAAATGTAAATTGATTGATTTCAAGTATGGAGTCCTAAGTTCTGTAAAAAGAGGTCACAGTGAATTGTTTGGAAGACTTATGATGTGGCAAGTGAGAAAAGTTTCTCTAGTTTCTAGCAAATGAGGACTTTTGTTCCTTTCCATATTGATTTTTTGGAACATATGTTTGTATACATATACGTATACATGTGCATTTCAATTTGAGATTTCAGTAGAAATGTTCATTTTATTCCACTGATTTTCTGTGGTTCTGGAAATGAGCCAAATGCTAAAGATTTTCTCCAGTATACCAAGTAATTAAATTATTATTTTTATTTTTGAATTTACAAGGATTATTTGCCTTACATTTATTCTTTACATGTGGAACTGGTGATTAAACGTAGGGCCTCATGAATGTTAGACCTACTGGCCAGTATCATCAACCATATTTTTCACTCTTAATTTTGATACAAAGCTGACCTTAAACTCACTTTGTAGCTCAAGCAGGCCTAATACTCCTGCCTTAACTGCCCAAGTAGTTGGGATTACAGTCTTGAGACCCCAGTCCTGGCTTCATTTTATTGAGTTTAGAAATGCCTCTGTTTTTGGAAGTTAAATTTCCAAATAAAGCCATCTAATATATTTTTATAAAGATGTTGCCAATAACTTGAGCTAGATATTCCTTCCTGAGTCTGAAAGAGTGCCAATGTTCTACTTTGTCTTCATTATTAGAAAATATTATTCTTATGCATACTATGAAACCACATGTAGGAATAGAGACTATTTCTGATTAGAGGTTATTTAAAAGGAAGATCTACTTTTTATCCTCTTATCATTAAAATAGATATAGTTGGGGCTAAAGAGATAGTTCAGTGGTTAAAATCACTTGCTGCTTAATCATGAAGACCTGGATTCAGATCCCAGCACTCATGGTTACCTGACTGACAAGTAATTGTAATTCCAGCTACGGGGCATTCCATGCTATTTTCTGTCCTCTATGGACACCTGCACACAAATGTGTGTATACACTCACAGAGACACATAGATACACATACATAAAATAAATCTTAAAAATAAAATAAGATAAATGTAGTCAACATTATTTTTTCAAATCTCAATCCACTGTCTGAACTATGATACTCACTCTGTAATCATAGGAGCGTCTTGGGTCCTCATCACAATTAATCACCTCAGGGGCCATCCAGTATGGCGTACCAATGAAGCTATTTCTCCTTCCATTTGTTCTGCTCACTTGGGCACTCACTCCAAAATCCACTACATATGTCAAAATAATTAATCAGGAACACAAATCTCAATAAGTTATTGCTTTAACTTGGAAAGGCAATACAAAAGCCGCAATGGATAACAAATTTTCTTTCTGGCCCAGAAAACTTTACCAAGACGTCTTCTCCAGGAATACTGGGAAACGAGCTTTAGCTGCTATTTATGTTGGAATGAGACCCAACAGCACTGTTATAAATTTAACATAGGTTTGGATAAATGTTTATCATGAATATTAAAAATAAAGTTCCACTGATTACCAAAATGTGGCATATGGCATATGTAGAGCTTGGAACTGCCACCAAGCTGGAGGATAAATAGCACTACAAGCCACATCTTAGTAATGTAAGTACTGTTAACAGTTAGGAAGGAAGTCTCATGCCTGACATCTGAAACTCCAATTCTACTGATAAGGAAAAGTAAGCTTCCTGATAGAAGTTAAATAAGTATACAGGTCTTCTGAATCAGGTACAAAATTATCTGGACTGTCTATATCTTAGTTTTGTGTCATAAAAGTTCAGTTTCTTATTCATCTGTGGGATACATTGTAAGAAAATATTTAGTATGGTATCCTGAGAAACAGACAGAAAAGGGCTGAAGTAGACTGGGGTTATTAATTCCAAAAACAATAAGACAGGGATGAAATATGAAGTAGATTTTCAAATTTATAATGGTTTCTGGGAATCTGGAAGATGGTGAACAAAATAACTGAAAAGCAGCTTGAATAATTTAGTGGAATCAAAGAAAAATGAAACAAAATTAATAGTTTAAGACAGTCTTTCAGAGAGTATCTAACAAGAGGGAGGAATATTCCAAATATTTTTTAAGATCTTTGGTCTCTATCTAAACTTTAAAAAAGTATTTCTTTACATAATAGCTCAATCTTCCTACTCTCTCTAATAGCCAACTTTAAAGCCAATAAATACCTAGGAAGGTCATAAACTGATATATCCCATATATGCAGGGAAAGCAAGTGGGTAAAATCTACAAGAAATAATGGAAAATACAAGCTTTTAAAAGGAAAAGAAAATTATGATAAAATGTAGAGTTGAAAACTCAATAATGAAGCTGAGTGCGGTGGTGCACAATTTTAATCCTAGCACTCAGGAGACAGTGGCCAGAGGAGCTGTGAGTTCAAGGCTAACCTAGTTGACAGAGTGAGTGCCAGGATAGCCAGAGCTACACAGAGAGACTCTGTCTCAAAATAATAGCAGCAGCAACAACAACAAGAACAAAAGCAAAATAAAATTCAACAATAGAATAATTTGTATTTTCTTTAATTATGCAAGAAATGTATTATGGATATTATTATCATTTTACAATGTCTTCCCTGCTGCCAATTCTGTGCATTGCTTAAAACAAAGTTATGGAATCGAAAATCAAACTATTTAAGGATTTGCCTCATGAATAAAGTACATCTACATTAGTGAATAGACTTTGAAACAGATATTTAAGACACTTTGTTCTTGCAATTTCTGTTTCATGTTAAGAATGTTTGGCATTACCAGCAACTTGACCCAAGCATGTGAATATAGGGTACATATAGCTTGACAGTGTATTTCAGTGTACTTGATGTTGCCAGTTTTGCAGCTTATGCAAATGAGACATGGTACGTTTTCTCAAAACTACTGTTATTTCAAGAAAACACAATTACTATCTCATTTGCTCCACAAATATTCAATAAAATATTCTTAATGACCAAAATCTCTCCTCTGGTTCTGTTTATTTAGCAAGAAAATGGGAAATTCAGAATTTGGTTTCCATATTATTGCAACATCACTTCTGATCAAATATTTTCAAGGAATAAATGCAAATAAGCAATTTATGTCTAAACAATTGAAAGCTATTTATAGTCTTCAAAATACAGCTCGATTATGGGCAAGAATATTTTTTAAATGTTTAACACCTACCATGATTCAATCACTATAATAAGTATGAAAGCTATCTCTAACATAGTTTAAAGCAATAAATGACCAAAAAGTACAACTTATATTATATTTAAAGATAGTTTATATGCAGTTTCAAAGAAATCATTAGGCATATCCTTTTTACTTTAATGCCAATTTCCTGCCAAACAAAGTTTCAATAAAGCCCAAATAATAATATATTGGCACTGATATGATCAAAGGCATTCTTCTTCACTTTCTACCTCATCTAACCCTTGCCAGAGTGAACTTACCTAATTTTACTTCAGCGTTATGAGTCAGCAGCACATTTTGGCCTTTGATGTCCCGGTGAATTACTCGGTGTGCATGAAGGTGAGCTAAGCCCTGTACATACATACACATTTTAAAAGTCAGGTAAGTATATAGATACGTATTTTTTCCAGTTTTCTAGTAGTGCTTTTAAGTGCTTTTGGAGAAAAAAAAGCTTTTGTTAAGAAAAATGGTCCACATTTGGTTTTTCAAACAAAATTCTTTCTTTAGGCTGGAATGACTACAACCAGTTCCCAGAAATACTACTTTTGGCTATAAGGAAAGGAAAATAAATCAGAATACTCATGAAAGAAAAAGAACACCAAAAAGTAATATTTATATAGATTGGGAAACTCTATCCTCCTTTATAGCCTCTATATTTCTGACTAGCCATGACAGTAAAGACCTGGACATCTTAACTATGAACTGTTTTGTTCTGTTTCTTATCCAAACATTTGTTTAGTCTAAACTATTTTCTGGTGAGGTCTGTAGGCCTAGAATTGGGGGGAATATGGAAATTCATTTTAAAGTGTGTACAATTTGGGTTGGCTTACCGTGTTGGCGGCAGCCCATTCACCACGGAAAGAACCCCATGACCTGGCTAGACCATGCCATGGTATGCAGTGTTGCACTTCAGTGAGATCATGTCACACACTAGTTGGGCATTAATAATACATTTATTGAGATTTTATTCAGTGTCTGACATTGTGCTAAATGTTTAGATGGAGTCACTGCTAAGTTATCCTAGAATCCCTTTGGGAAATATGCTATCCTCCTATGTTATGGGTAAGGAAAATGAGATCTGGGGAAACCAAGAAATTGATTAAAGGTCACACACAACTAATATGTGATGAACTGAAATCCCAACTTGGTATATAGTTTGCACTCTTAATATATTTGTATTGTTATTGCAAATAAATTCAGACAAAATGGGAAGAATGGCATCCCAAAAGTGTTGAGGGTAATCTTCATTTTATTAATATCCTTTTCTGGTGACCCTTAATGACTTAAGCATTGAACACCGATTAAAGTTGGCTGACCAAGAAGCTCATTACTTTCATCCAATTTAATGTGAGAAGTAAGGAGAAATGTGGGGCTATTTTCAAATTGATATATGCCCATTTAAAAGGCTGCAGATGGTTTAGGGCCACACTGTAGAACACTAACTTTTCCTGATTAGACCTCATCTTAATCTATGATGATAGTCTTATATGCTTAAAAAATAATTAAGCCGTAATGTCAGTCCCATGATTTGATGAACATAGTAGCATGAATCTCACAGAGAGCCATTCAAGACTATGATTTGAGCTTTTGGGTCTTTGGGGGGATTCCTTATCCACAGGTTATGTCTAAAATTCTTAGTCAGGTGTACAGTACAAATACACACACACACACACACAAAAAAAAAATCATGTGTGTGTTTTAGAGTTAGGTTCTTTTAAGATCAGGGGCAAGGATTATTTGAATACTCACCTGAAGAATTTCTCGACAGATATAAGCAATCCAGTCTTCTTTTAAACTCTGATTTCTTGTCATCCTCACCACATCAGTGACTGAGCCTGCTGCACATAACTCCATCACAATCTGCAGAGGATCCATAAAACCATAAAATATTTTAAAAATTACAACAGTGGAATGAGAATTTGTGAAATTAGGTAAACCAGGAGGCACATCTGAATGTTTCGTTAGCAGGTGGGATTTGAACTAATCCATGGCATGTAGGTTTTGAAGGTTGTAGTTTGAGATACTTAGAAGGAAGATAATTCATGTTTATATATATAAAAGAACAAATGCCCTTGACCTTAAAAAGAAGTTTTTGAGGAGAAGAAGCCTGACTGTTGACTGGAGTGGAAAATAAAATAAGGAATATTTGAGAGACCAGTTTGCCTGGATGTGGAAAGTCTTCAAAGAATCTACAGCTCATTGTTAAGATTAGATTTGTTTTCATTTCTTAATGGGCTAGAATGACTGAATGAACAGAGTACTAATGTATCTGATAACGAGTTAATATTTCTAATAACTTTACATATTGTGTGAAAGTTAAATTTGTAATATTTTATGAAAAATATAATACACACAAAAATATTAAATATAGTAACCATGGAGTTGTGGAACATTATTTAATAAAATTTCAACTATGATTATCAGAGAATAGAGACTTCAAGTTCCCTGGAACATCTGTGAAAAACAGGGTTAATTTGAACACCTCTAAATTTGGTGGTTCTAAGAATGCTGTTATTAAACTAGAAGCATCACTATCATCTATGGACTTACTAGAAAGGCCATACTTCACACATATTTCAGAATTACTCAATTTAAAAGTCCGTGAAAATGGGCCAGCACTCTGTGTTATAGAAATTTCTCCAGAAGTTCCTGATTCATGCTAAAGTTTGAATTTCATTGTAATGTGTTGTTGTAAGCATTTCTCCATTGTCAATTGTCCACATTCCCAAAATCCACTATGTAGAATGTAGTAGGACTTTTTATTGACACTAGAAGATCCTGAAAACTTTTTATAATTATTAAAAAAAAAGTTATCCCAGTTTATGTCCCAAATACTCTGTTTTTAAAGATATCATTCACTAAAACTCATTATCTAAGACAGTAGAGTACAGGAAAAATTCTAGTAACTGTGGATTAGTTAGACTAGGTTCCAATAAGTTACTGAAATTTCTATTTTTTGATCTGTATTTTATAATAGCCCAACTATGATGACAAATCAATGAACCATTTAGCTATATTTATGCATAAGTGCACATATGTCAAAACACCTAATATGTAGCTATCTGTTCATGTCAATTGCTAATTCAAATTTATCCTCATCTGTTTATTATTTCTAGCCCATCATGCCACCTGGATACCAGCAAAAAGGAAAAAGAGCAAAGCTATAATTTACAATTTGAATTTTAAATTAACAGTGTTTGTTTTGGTCCTCCTCCATCCAATCGAAAAGCTCTTAGATGGGCATTTAGGCTACTCTTTCCATTTCTTATCATGCTGTCTAAAGGAGTCAGAATACATTTTGTCATACTGTCTTGAACAGTTGAGGGCTTAAGTTTTCTAGTAGGAAAGCAAATATCACATTGCGCTGGACTTTTCTTATGGAAAAAGACAAAGGCAAAGAAAAACGTACCCAAAGTTGATGTCTATAGCCAGGGGGACTCAGCTTGAAAAACGCACCATAGAAGGACACAATGTTTTTGTGGAAAGAGTACTTCCTCAGCAGATTGAGCTCAGTCCTGAGATCCTCCTCTTCATCCTAAGCAGTAAAAGCAGACAAGAAAGCTTTAAGCTATGTAAATTGGTGGCAGTTAGTATCAAAAGTATAATATATTTATAAAGCAAAATATTATAGTAACAGTATATTCTATAGTGATTCAAAATAAGACCTCAAGAATTAACAATGAATGGAAATCTCTGAAAAATTATAATTTGGGAGTAAAAAGAAACAATGAACTAAAGATCTCTTAGTCCATAAATTCTTATAATGTGATCCTAGAACAGTATCACTATACCTCGAGAAATTATTCAATAAATGGTGTCAATATTTTTCTAAATTTATTGAGATACAATTCACATATTATAGACTTTGGTCACTTAAGTGCATAAATGAAATTTTATAATATGTAATCTCTTCAGATCAGCTATTTCTGAGGTTTATACATGAAATATCCATTCATAAAGTAGTAGTATTTCATTTATTTTGGTTTACATTCAATCAAATTATGGGTACATTTGTTATTTCTACCTTCTGGGTACTATGAATAATGTTTCTATGAGCGCTCATGTGAAATTTCTTAATGTACATGCTTTCATTTCATTCTGATGATTCTAGTGTGGTTAATATTATGATGAAATGCCAAACTCATATTCAACAGCAACTGCATCACGTTGTCTTACCAACATAACATATATAGGAAGTTCTGATTGTTCCACACTCACCAATAGTTGTAAAATCTGTTCTTTGATAGTGAAATGATAGTATTGTGTGGTTTAATAATTTATAATACCCCGATAAAAAGTAGTTTCAAATTATCTTATCAATTTCTTTTTTTTTTTTTTTGGTTTTTCGAGACAGAGTTTCTCTGTGTAGCTTTGCGCCTTTCCTGGGACTCACTTGGTAGTCCAGGCTGGCCTCGAACTCACAGAGATCCGCCTGGCTCTGCCTCCCGAGTGCTGGGATTAAAGGCGTGCGCCACCACCGCCCGGCTCAATTTCTTATTAGCGTGTGTGTGTGTGTGTGTGTGTGTGTGTGTGTGTGTGTGTATTGCAAAACACTGAAATAAAAAATTCTTTGCACATTTAAATGTTGGGTTGTTTTTTCATTATATAAATGTAAGGTTTCTTTTTTAGATAATATAGATACAAATTATTCACTAGATAGTGGGTTTATAATTATCTTCACCCATTCTCTGAGTTGCCTTACACTTTCATATTTTCTTTGGAGAAAACACATTTTTACTTTTGATAAAGTCCAATGTATTATCGTTTTATTTATTAGTACTTTTGGTTTCAAATCTAAATATTCTTCAAATCAAAATCACAAGTATTTACTTTTATGTTATTTTCTAATCATGTTATGGTTTGTAAAGCATTTTATAGCTCTCGTGTTAAGGTATTTGATCTATTTTCAGTCAGATTTTTTCTCTTACATTCATAGAGATAGTAGAAAAAGTTGTGATTAGCCTTTAGTACATTTTAAAGGTATGGGTTCACTTGATGTTAATCTTGTAAAGTAAGCTTATAAACATTTTGTTTTCCTAATCATCATGTCTGTAAAACATGTAATGATCCAATCTCACTGATTATTTTCATAGATTCTTGTTAAAAGGTTGTAGTACACATTCTGTCAGAGTTGTGAATGCTAGTAAAGTAGCTAGAGACCGAAGTGATAAATACACAAGGCACATGGGTAAGACCTGATACATACACACAACAGCTACAGAGACGCATATGTGGAATTCGTTTTAATCTAAACAACTGCAAATTTTTCTTTCAAAATTTTTATCAATACATGAAACACATCTATCAATAGCAATGAATCCTTATATATCCTTTGGTGGACAGCATACAATTATAAACAATGGTGATATGGTTCTGGTGCTTAGGGGATGTTGAAGTACTCCTTTTAAGAATTATCAATTTATTGATAACCGAATCCACCTGATTAGGTGAGATCATTGAGGTGAAAAGCATAGTTTCAAAAGACAACTCTATCAAAAGATAAGTTGATCTTAGAAACGAGCAAGTACTCAAAGTATTAGTGATACTTTTCTTTTTACCATTGATTTTCCATAGTAGGAAACCTACTTACTCTTCCCAAAGTTTCATTTACTTAAAAAATACAGTAGAAGACACGAACATTTTTCTGTCTTCATAGGAGATCTATGTATGTGCAAATAACACACTTTTTAGCCAAAGTAATCAAGCTGATTTAGAGATGCTAACTGATTAGCTAGCAACGATGTTCCTTTACTAAAACATAATCACAGAATTCAAAATACATGACTTAAAAAAAATAAAACTTCCAAGAGTGGGTTTCCCACATAAATGTAAACTCTCCCAAAACAAATAAATGAAGATCAGATATGTTTGGAAAGCATTAGTGTGTTTGCCACTCTCAATTAACGGGAAGTTGAGCTTGTAAGAAACACACAAGTACATAATATCCATCAGGCCAAGTGGGTAATTTAAAACTCTCACACATCTCCCAGTAATATGATGCTCCAGTGTTTCCTGGCTCTGTGCCAGTTGATCCCAGACTAGTCTGAATACCCTGCTTTTTGTCAGAAGGCAGCTCAAGGATGCCAGAATTCCCTTTGTAAATTTACCAATGCTACAATTAAAATCCCCTTTTTACATGGAAAGAATACTAGAAAGGTCTTGGAGATTTTAAAATGTTTTTATTATTATAAACTTTTGAGGAAAACAGAATTGACCAAATAATTTCCAGTTTTCTTTTGTTTAGTGGGTTTTTGATCTACCAAAGCCAGTTATAGCTGCTTCCTGTTATGATACATTATAAACAAAAATCCTGTTGTGTAACAGATAAATCATGAAGGTATTTGGTAATGGTTTTTTTCAAATACCTAGAAAGACTCTAAATGAGTTTGTTTGTGTTATTAGAAAGTTTTTTTAATGTACATGACACTATATTTATTAAGGCATCAAGGCTGAAAAGTATCTGAACCTTATTTATTTGTCTGCAGGAGAGAAAATTAGAAAAAATTAATCAATGATTTATATTGATATGTACAATATTTTTGGTTTTAGGCTCATATAATATTTTGATAGAAAACAAAGTCGTTTGAAAACTATAATTCTGTATGCTTGAACTTATTCTAAAGCCAGTCATCATTGGGATAAGGGGGAGATCTCAAAAATTCTGCAAGGAGAAAGTGTTTCATAGTCCTTCCTGTGTTCAGGAATTGAACACAGGAATTTTGGACAAATATCTGAAGACTGTTAGGATAGGGACCATGTTGGCTATTAGTTTTGCAATATAAAGAGTAAGCATAATTTGCAATATAAAGAGTAAGCATAATTTGGCTCATATGCAATGATGTCTGTGACCAAAATAGTTGGACAACAGAAATTCATTCTAAAGAAGGTGTATAACATGTAAAAATGACTTTGTTAAGGTTACTTTTAGGAAAAAGTAGTTCTTGGTACAGTCAGCTCTTCCTCGGTTGCTTGCCAATGAGAAAGTTCTATACTCTGTAGACACACTCTAATTTTCCCCTGCAGCCAATAATTGACTACACCTTCTACTTTGACAGATGTTAGTGTTCAACTTTGATTAGTGAATCTATATGAATAGTAGAATATATACACTTTATCATTTCCAGCAGGAGCATATTAGAGGGAGCCCATGTAGAGATAACAATGAGCTGAAACCTAAAATTCAAGTCAAGACTATGGAGGGGCTAATGAAGACATTTACTACTCACACTGTATCTCCATCCAACAGACTTCTGATATTTATTCACTCTCACCCGCCTCCCTATTTCAGGCAAAGGAGTCTGGAAAACAACCAAGAAAATATTATTAGACCTACTAGTATGATTTTACAATCCTTTTTGCCAAAAACTTTGTGCTGCTTTAGCACTAAATTGTAGATCAATAAAACTTCATTCCTTTTTTGCTTTCCAATAATAGTATTAATCTAAAAATTTAGTTTCTTATGACATGTGTAAACTGGTCACTAAACTCGTGTTAATGGATGTAACTGACACATTAATGGTAATTTTATAATAGTAAAGTGTTATTATCCTCTTACAAATACAGGCAATAAATATTAAGCATCTATATTCTTAATTTTTAAATATTTCAACAAAGATTTAATGTGAACTCCTAAGGTAAAACAAGGAATTAAATATTTTACAGAGTCTTACTAAAAAAACATGGTGGGTTATTTGGAAACTATGGTTTATAAATCCACAAAACCTCCAAATCCCCTGAATCTCACATTGGTCTGCAACATTTGACATTTACTGGCAAAAGAAAAGTACTTGACTCTTTCTTCACTATTTTCAAAGTAACATTTCATTGTAGCATACAGCAGTTCCATTAAACTACACAGTCTTTCAAATATTTTTCCTTTAGGATAGAATGCAATAAAAATTTCTTAACTTCTGTTATGTTCATGTAATTATTTTGAGAAAGTGAATTACTCAAGCTAAAGAAAGAGGGCAGAAATCAGTCCTTTGCAAGTTCTTTGACAATAAATTATGAACTGTGCCACAATTTTATGAATGTTAGCAGGAACAGTGCCAATTAAATTGTCTCTCTTGCTTATCTGTCAGAAAATATATGAAAAATGTGCATCTCTGACAACTTCTTCCCTTCTACCTGTCATTGGGGATCTAATGGTCTCAATTCTCAAAAGAAATTATTGGAGAAAAAATATGACAGAGCAGAACAGTATTAACACAATACTAAAGGAAATATCTTCTTTGCTATCCCCAACAATTGATAATCAACTGAAAATAGAGGGGAAGATAGGTATTTCCCCAACTGGCTCATAATATCAAATATTTGGAATTTATGGTGTAAGTGAATTATTTTTAATGTGGAAATAAAACTAACCAGTAAGTGTAATACATTATTAACTGTGATTACATAAATGTAATTATTCCATATTAACTCACTAATATATAAAATCATAACTTGAAAACAGTACTTTTGGAGTTGTTTATCCCATGTACACAGTGTATTAAGCATGCAGACTACAGAGAGGACACAGTATTGATTACCTTCCGGGCATTCATTACTTTAACAGCCGTTAACGAACCAGTCTTTTCATGGAGTCCCTGATAGAAAGGATAGTGAAAAATGTTAAATGTTTGTTATTTACTCAGCTATAAAGAAACTAATAAAGTGAAATATATTATAATTAAATAAAGTCAAGATCATAGCATGTTAATAAGTAGGTATCTGTGTTTGTAGTGAACATAGCTGTTATCAACATTTATATAAATCCAAAGCACTTCACTGAAAATGAAGCAAGTTTATTAGGTAGCTAAGATGTTTGTGCATATATTAATCTGTGGACACAACTGATCATGTAAAATTATTATTTATTTAATATAAGTAATAGTCTCGATTTGTGTTTCACCAAAGAATCCATATGAAAAGCACAAATCTTCAATTGAAGATAACAACAAAAAGAAGACATTTTACCCTATACTTTTTGACCTACATGTATAAGTACTGTGCAGAGATATCTTCCTACTGAGTATTTCTTCATACACACAATTTCTTCCATAATGTCCACTGGTAAGAGTGACACATTTATGAAATATGTTCTGAAAGATTTTTTCTTATTGGAATCACACTGATTTCTAACAATACAGTCTTAGCCTAAATGCAAATCATAGATTTATAATAGTATTAATGTGAACATATAGAATTTTTAGTTAGAGCTTATTTTGTGGCTGCTGATTTTTTTAAAAAAAATATTTCATTCTGTGGTAATAGAAGAATTCCAATCCAGTGTTACTATGAGTATGTTAAGTGGAATGCCTTATACGATAGTTTTCTAGCAGAAAATTATTCTTGGACTATACACTAGGTTGAACAGTATTCTTACAAATTCCAAGTTCACCTTGTACTTCAGATTGCGACCTTATTTGGTTATACCTGCATTTCTCTGTAGGCACATTGAATTACAACTTTCCTTTCTTTGATTCTAAGAGGTTATTCATGGGTCAAACTGCTATTCTGTTCATACTACTATTCTGTGAAATATAAAGCATTTGGCATACTAGCAAAGATATTAATCATATATCTTCTCTGATTAAGAGTAAAATTTGAACTCCATCACCACCATACTTGTAAACACACATTAGTGAGGTACTTGAATGTCAGTAAGTGCTTGTACTCATGGTCTAAAGAATCAGTTTGTTAATAGCCTCGTAATCTGTGATTGATGCTCATTTTATAATTGCACACAATTATTTTGTAGTACAATTATACACTAAAGTGGAGTTTCAAGAATTTACTGAAGGGAAACTAGCTAGACCCTAGGTCTTGAAACCATTTATTAGGTTAAGACACAACCATTACAAGCTTCCATAGATGTCTAGTATATTCAAAAATACATAATTATAAATTGTTGCTATTAAGGTAACCTTTCAGAGTTTTCCCTTGTACACTGATTTTATTTAAACATCTACTATGAAATAATTTCAAACTCAGAGATTAGTTTAAAAATGCAGAATTCCTATGTATTCTTTTTCAGCTTTCTATAATGTTAGTATATTACACTGACCATAGTATAATAATTAAAAGTCAATATTGACAAGATACTCCTTTAAACTATATTACAGTTTATTTGAGATTTTTTTTGGTCAACCATTTTGGATAATGTACCTCAGCTTTAGTTTATCTGATGCTTTCTTGTAATTATTCTGGGGTTACACACTTGGAGTGAAGAACAAATAAATGAAGTGTCCCTTTTATCACATGTGTGGTAGAATATTATTTGAAGGTGTGTTACTTTTGTTTATGTTGCATTTGTTTAACTCTGTGAAGTCATATTGCTGTACCTGTGTAAAACACCTGATGGTTTAATAAAGAACTGGCCAATAGCAAGGCAGGAGAAAGGATAGGTGGGGCTGGCAGTCAGAGCGTATATATATATAGAAGGAGAAAACTGGCGAAAGGGAGAGATCTAGGAGCCAGAGAAGGGGAAGACATCAGGGGTCAGCCACCCAGCCACCCAGCTACACAGCAAGCCATGGATAAAAAGTAAGATTTTCAGAAGTAAGAGAACAGGAAAAGCCCAGAGGCCATAGGTAGTAGATGGGATAATTTAAGATAAGGAAAGCTGGCTAGAAACTAAGCCAAGCTAAGGTTGGGCATTCATAATAAAGAATAAGCCTCCATGTGTGATCTATTTGGGAGCTGTGTGTCAGCCCCCACCCCCCACCCCCCCAAAAAAGAGCAAAGAGCCAAAACAAACAACAATACACATGTATCAGGGTAAAGAGTATTACAACATAACAATTATGTTTTGACCTTGATCACTTAATGTAAGACCTGTGAAGTTTCTCCACGATTGAGTCACTGTTCTCCATGTCATAGTGTAATTCATTGGAAATGACTGACATTAGTCTTGCAGAAGGTTGCTGTTATTCTTGACCAGCCATTTACAGAATCTAGAAGCACCTTTCTGAAATAAACTAATTGTTCAGTAGTGCCATCTTGTGGTCTGCTGATTATGTGAAAGCTGTTGGCTGCTAAGAGCTGAAAGCTATGCTGTAGTGAGAGGAGTGCAGCATTTGTAATGCGGGGCTCAGTGTGGCCTTTACTTTTTCAGGTATGATTTGTGTTCTATGTCTGTGAAATTTTCTGTAAATAGATGTAGAAAATGCTAACAAATCAGATAGGCTTTGTACTCTAAAATATTAAGAATTTTCCTCAGCTCTACTGAGTATTGAAAAGCCCCAAATTATAAATTGGATTTCATTGTCCACTTTACCTATGGAAATATCAGTATACAGAAATTACTAGTTGTACTGGAATAATAATTCTTCTTAAAATATAAAACACTCAAAAATACTAGAAAGATAAACTGTCTGAAGTCACAATTTTTAAAATGTATATGCCTATAACAGGGAAAAGAAACTTCAGAGACTTGTTACTCGTATATGTTCTTGAATCCCTAATAGAATCTGTTAAAGGGTTCAAGACAATGAATACAGGCTACCATAAAAATAGACATAAATAAGGTCCCAAGTAACTGTCCTAAACAAATTATAATGCCTTCACAACTAAACCTGTATTCTCTTCACAGATCTATTTGAAATAACTCAGGAGAGAACATAAATCCCTCAATGTGCTAATTTCAACTTGGCAAAGATTTGTGTTCTTAATTAATTTAAGAAATCAAATAAATAGCATTATTTAGTTTGTTTCCTCTGGGAAAAGCAGTGTTCCTTATTGTGCTGTTGGTTTTCAATGGCTTGAAAATTAGTACCAGCATTCTTAACATATCTTATTAATAGAAAATGCTACATACCCATAAATTTAAGGCAGAGATCACATACAAACATCTGTATATATACTGTATATGTATATAAGTGTATATACTATTTCTTTCATTGAAGACTACCCCTTGACGTTCAAAAAATTTAAGGGGCAGTCATGAACACAATGGTGAGGGTTACAAGAAAACTTGCACTACCACTTCGAGGTCAGACTCCTTCAATTGCTACACTAAAGAATAATTACAATTTGGGAAGTCTTTTGAAAATAATAAAGTAAGGCTAATTTAAACACTAAGGTTCCAAAAGCAAATTTAGCTGAACTTGTAACTACAGAATAAATATATGAATTATCAGTGTCTTCATCACCTGACACTTAGCCTTACCAGCTTCTATTTGACCAGTAAGTCAACCACCTTTTCAAGCCCTTATTCCCTTTCTGCTGGCACAGATCTTTTCAATAAGCTTTTCTTCCTCTTTATTTTAAATTCTTCCCTTTGCCTTTGGGGCTGTTTAGGTGAAGAGGAATGTCTCTTCCAGTTGTTTGCTGATTTCCAATAGAACAGTTGGAAAACCTTCATGGAAGTGGTACAGATGTCAATTGGAACATGAATATGGCACAGCATTTGAAAATATCGGGGATTAAATTGTGGTCTCAATTTAATAGATTCTGTGGATAGAACTTCGTAAGCAAATACTATCAGGCAACGCTGAGTAGGAACACTCAACCTACTAAACACAAAAAAAAATGTTAAGAAATGGGGGAATATAGCAGAAAAATGAAAATGGAATGTCAGAGCACACCTGCTTTAGTCATATCAGAAATGTCAGTGGAAAAAAAATAGAATCTCGCTGAAAGGGAGAGAGAAGACATCACTGATAAAATAAGCCATTAGCTGTGTACTTTATGACTGGCTTTTGTTAGCTAATAGTCTGATGCAAGCCTCGGAATTGGTAAGGCACTGAAAAATCAGCACTGAATTGCAGTAATGATCAATTTCTTGGGGATTATACATTTTAAACCATAACAAATGATTTAAAATAGCAGTTGTGACAGCTGTGTTGGTAAAATCCATCATTCTGCAACAGTTAATTACTATGTTTTCCCCTAGAAAGAATATAGGATAGTTCTTGATGGCCTTGTAATTTTCATTAGACAATTTTTATATTATGTAGTTAAAGAAATTGTTGTGGAAAAACTGCCTTCTCTTCAGTCAGTCATTCAGAGTTCCTCCAGTTATTTGTTTTGCTTTCAGTTGGCAAACTGAAACCACACAATCTCCATGGCATTCTTTCTTTTCAGTTGGGCTTGTGTTGGAGAAAGACTACTCATGTCCATTCTATAACTGTGTGACTTGTTTTTCCTTTACATAGTTTTATCCTTCAATATCTGTTTTGACCCCTAGGAAAACATCCAACTGATCCTTGAAGGCCACCACCAGGGCAGCCATAAGCAGTATCTTGGAGTGCTTGTTGAGATAACATGGCTAACAGAATAGTTTCTATAAACAGATCTATGCAGAAATATAAAAGCATGTGGTTGGTTGAGCATTTTCAAAGGTTAGCAAGTCATATTTTTGCTTCTAAGCATGTCCTTCCAGTAACTATCACGTCAGACTGGTAATAAAGGTACTGTTTCTTACATGGATAGCTTCTCATTTTGTTTTCCTTTTTATCCTTCCATCATACAAAGTAGCTCAAGAAGCCCAAATTGGCAGATGTGTTCAGAGTAATCAGTGATTGGAGGTGTGATTAAAATCAGCAAAGATATCATGAAGACAGAGGGTGAGAACTGAGGCATGATTAAAATCAGCAAAGATATG